CTATTCAATCAACCAGATTAAAGCTATGTTGATAGCATCATGGCTCTAAGCATATAGTTGTCGCGGGCACTGTTGATAGTACAGCCCTCTGGCGCGCATCTTCAACGTGGTTGCTTGCCATGATAATGACCACCGCTCGGATCTGCTAGCTCGTGAGCGAGGACATCGAGGCGCGGGGTGGCTCAGGTTATAACTCTGGTGCTCAAGCTGAATCATCTCGGAGGCATTCACATCGATCAGAGATGACTCCAGGGCATCGTTTCAAGTGCTGGTCGACCTTCTACATCAAGAACGTCGAGCGCACCAGGAAACAAAGCGCGAACTCACCCTCATGAAAGAACGGCTACGCGACAGATGACTTCGACAAACGAAGCCGAGAACAAAGTTGCGACGGGTACTAACCCGCCTTCGATCAGTCAACGAAGAGCGGTCGGTCATTATTCAGCCAGCCAGCTTTTCTGACGATCCGCTCAGAGTCTCTGCCGTACGTGAAAACGTCACGGCTGAATGAGTCATTGGCGTGCGAGAATCTCATGCACATCAGCCTGGGACTGAATCGGCCTTAGTCTGTACAGATTTCAATTGGAAAAAGCGCAAAACGAGATACACCGAGCACAGACAGTCTTCGAGCTTGTTGAAAAGGACAGATACAATGCTGAGGTGGCGGGAGTCAAATCACGAACACTCGCACGTCAGCTGCACGAACAACAGAAGATGTATAAAGCTCTGGAGGAAGGCCGCCGCCAGGGAGCCCAGCAAGGCTTTGAGGCCGGACAAAGAGGCTACACTGCTGAGTCTGAAGGAAACATTCCTGCTGAAGCCTCCGCATCGGGCCCTTCAGATGTGATGGCGGAGCCAGAGCCGGCTTTTGAACGGCCAAATCTCCAGTTGAATCCATATTGACGCTTTCTGAAAGATCTACTTCAGTTTATGCGCCGTCAGCCGTTCAGCAGCCCATCCCAGTCCTATCACCCATCGCCGAATTTGTCACTCCGCCGGCATCCGCACCAACGGGAATCGAGGAGGGAGCGAGTCCAGCGCCTGTTTACGTTCCGTTCCATGATATTCGGCCGATACCGATCCATAACTCGATGCCTCACCCCCACGAGCAAGTGAATCGCATGCCGATCGGGGTCATTCCTGTCTCGGATCCTGCGGGAGTCATCCACATACCCCCGGCCCATGAGGTCGATCCCATCGCCGAGGAACGTCACTGAGGCAATCTGGAGTGGTTGTTGAGCCAACAATTTCCCCGTCTGCGTTTGCGAGGGCTTTGTCCCCGGGGCCGCGGCGGCCACTCTCAGTGGTGCGTTAGAGGTTTAGCCACACAGTCGGGTCTTGCTGACACATCTACTCTAGGCTGGGTCGGCCCAATCGGGGCAGCACCGCACTCCCGCAATGCATAGTGAGAGCATCTATCGTGCAAATCGCAGTTCCATGTCCTCCGGTCCTGTGCATATCAGCGTTCAGTCGCCAGTAAGTTGATTGAAGCAACATCGGCCCGTATCTTGCTCACGTCGAGTTTAGTCTACGGCCGAGTCTTCCGCTGGTGCCTGGAACCCCACAGCTGGGAGCAGGCTCTTTGACGACTCGGTCGATACCAGAGTTGGCTTGGCGCTCACTAATCCTTCTCCATTCCCTCTCCAAGACTTTCAGAAGGAAAGCTTCGCACGCTCAAGTCTGAGTCACGAGAATGACGAGATGCCCATTCCTGTCCCTTATCCGACAGCTAGTCGTGTGGGCTCAGAGACGCCCCAATCGCGCTCCAGCACTCCGTTTACTTTGACCACCCCTGTCCTGTAAGATTAGATACGATCTGGATTACATAAGTATTGAGCTGTCATTCTTGAATGCTGTGCTGGATATTGTGATCCCAAACAAACTCAACTCCTTGTCAATCCTCCATGTCCAAAGTCTCGTTCACTGTTCGCAGACCATCCCCTGTATCGCGTGGCGCATCTTCCGGTCCAGATTCGGACTCAGGATTCAAAATTCCCGCTTTGCCGAGGCATTTGGCTCAAGATTCCACCCCCGGGAGCCCCCTCAGTCGCAGTCACACGTCTTCTCCCGCCACCCGATATGACGATGATTCAAGTGACGACGACGAAGAACAGGACGAACTGGTGACAAGCTTTGATGCAATGGGTGCTCAGCGGTGTGTTTGCTCCTTTGCTGTACTCGGTTTCTCAACTCACGTTAGTCTTCCCCGATAACCTTCAATACTTCAGGTTGCGTCCGCCGAAAAAGACACCACAAGGCCCATTGATCATTCCCGCCCAAAAAAACAAGGACTGGAGGGAACTTGCGAAGAAGAGACGCGGTGCCAATCAGTTTGTTCCTGAATCGGGCAAGGCTGCTACAGGACAAGACGGCAGCGTTGGTGGACTCGGGACACGAGATAGCATCAATTCTGGGCCAGTGCTCTCTGGTCTCCAAGTCAGATCGAAGAAGGTCGTAGAAGAATCGTCAGAGGATGTCGCGATGTCTGCAGAAGGCGAGGTGGATATGGTTGATGTTCAAGAGGAGCCTCAGACGGAAGAACAGTTGGCACTCCGCGCTATCTTGGCCGAAGCATCGGGGAGCAGCAAGGCAACTACTCCATAGGCGTCATCCCTCCTTCTATTTCGGAAGAAGACGCTTTGAAGCGGGACATTGACGAGCTGCCGGACGTTGCGACATTAGACGACTATAACCGGGTTCCGGTCGAGCAGTTCGGGCTCGCGCTGTTAAGAGGCATGGGCTGGAAAGAGGGAACCGCAGCCTCGAGGAAGCCAGGGAAAGGCATGGTGCAGCCCTATCTTCCTGAAGCGAGGCCAGCCTTGTTGGGCATTGGAGCCAAGGAGCAAGAGGTTTTCGATGACGGATCCGGCAAGAAGGCCAGCAAGCGCCCGGAGAAACGATATGTCCCAGTCGTCAGAAGAGAGACTGATTCACGAGAAGGGTCTTCCAGTCGGGATGTCTCTCGACGCAGTTCAAGGTCTCCCAGTCGCCGAAGGAATTACGATGATCGCAGAAGCGATGACAAGTATCGAGATGGCAGACGTGCCGATGGGCGCAGAGACTCGACGCGGCGAGATTATGACGGAGACAGGCGCAATGATAGAGATGACCGTCGACGAGATTATGAAGCAGATTCTCGTCGGAAAAGGAGGGACTAGCTCGTACATTCACCACATATTTCATTCGCGGTACCGACTGTCTTGTGCTGTGCTATTCTGGAGACTCCAAAAGTACAAATCCGCGTGTCATTTTCTCCATTTATAAATGTGACAGTCGGTGGATGGGAGGAAGCGACGGGTTTCAGACAGATGGCATATTTATAGTGATGTGCTGCGCTTCACATATCGCAAAATCGACGGGTATGGACAGCAAATCTTGAGTGAACTGTGGGAACACATCTTCGGACGCGCTGCTATGCTCTTGTATAGTGGTCGTCGAATTTGGAGCGCATCCAGCGTCCGCGACCGTGGCCATGCGATTTTTTCCATTGACGTCAGACACCTTACTTAGCGAGAGAGGCTGTGACGGCGATTCGGACAACAAACTGGACCGCCGCGTCCTTCTTTCTTTTCCTTCACTCTATCTACTCTACCCTTTCTCGGGCCCTTCCCTTGCTTTGCTTTCGCGCTCCCTTCAGCTCTCGAGGCCCTAATTCATACATATGGCATCCGTGAACCCTGTCCGTCGCTGGCTCTCGACTCCCCGTCGTTTGCGTTCCTATTCACCGCAGACTGTCATCTCAATACTCGCAGATCCGGAGAAAGCTCGTCATCGTCGGAGATGGCATGCTTTTCTATCTTGCGCATTGTGCACTCGCTCATCCCTCATTGCAGGTGCCTGCGGCAAGACATCCTTGCTGTGCTCATTTGCGCTTGGGGAGTTTCCTAGAGACTATGTGAGTATCTTAACTTTCATCCTTCTCTCGCTTCACTGACATGCGGCTCCAATGTAGCAACCCAGTAAGGTGTTAAGAGGCGATAAGCTCCGTCATCACTCAATTTCCACCAAGCTGTGTTCGACAACTATGTAGCCGAAATCCGACTCGATGACAAGCCCGTTCAACTAGCATTGTGGGATACAGCGTACGCCACATTTCATATCTGTCCCTGCGTTCACATGGGTTGAACCCTTGGCAGAGGTCAGGAAGAATACGAGGCGAGCTTTCTGTCCAATCATTACGCAGTCGACTAATTCGCCACTGCGCTCTGCAGCGTTTACGCCCAATGTCCTATTCCAAGTCCCACGTCATTCTCATCGCTTTCGCATTGGACACACCGGATTCTCTGGAGAACGTACAGACGAAGGTTGCGTGGCGGTGTATCTAGTCATTCCGGCTGCTCACGCTTGACCAGTGGATTGAAGAAGTGCGCGCCATTTGTGGATCGACGATTCCGGTGATCCTCGTGGGATGCAAAGCCGACTTGCGCCCTGCTTCACCACAAGAAAACTCGACTCAATGGGTGTCCCGTGAGCAAGGGGAGCGCGTCGCCCAAGCCATCGGCGCTCGTGCGTACAAAGAATGCTCGGCACTCAGGATCGAGGGTGTGGACGAAGTGTTTGAGACGGCGACGCGTGCGAGTATGCTCATGCGCGACGGAGTTCCGGGAGGTGTTGCCACCGACAACCGTCATCACAGACGGAAAAGCAGCGGCAAAGGTGTACCAGAGAAGGAGGAGAGCAGTGGCTGCTGTGTTGTTACGTAGGGGGTGAGTTGAAGGATGCGCATCTTTCCTTGTACAAAATTCATGTTTCTATTCCTATCCGATATTTCGACTAGCATGGACGTCTCTAGCTGAAACGGACATATATTGTCCATACCTACCCTTCGATACACACACCTTGTCTTGCGCCAGTGTTCTCTTCGTAACCACTATGTCTTCAGCTCCCAGCTCACACCGCACCCGCACCCGTTACCCTTGGAATGCGGATTCTCGATCACCCGGAAGCTACTTCCTATGAGCTCAGTCGCATAGTCGATTGTAGAGCCATTGATGAGCGGTAGTGAGACTGCATCCACAAGGATGTTGGATGGTTGGACCGATGGGTGACTGAGATGGCTGAGGAGGACACATCAGGGAACCGTTAACGAACACAAGCCATGTCCTCACTAATCATCCAGAGCTCGGGATTTTGCTAGCTCCAGTTTGTACTGATAACCATGGCAGCCTCCCGATTCGACAGAAATCCTCAACGCTGCGTTTGTGTTGGCTTCACGCTGGGATATGCTGCGGAGTTGCTGTTATCATCGTGAGATAGCAATTGGGGCAAGAAACCCGGTGCACACTTCTGCCGCTCGGTCGGTAAGGATCATCTGCACTTGCTGTGGAGGTAATAGTTCAATATCTAGTTCTTCCTGCTCGAGATATTGCGGAGACGGAGACGACAAGAGAACAGTGGGTTGGCCGGAAGGCTCGGCGGAAAGACGAGCGCGCGATGCAGAGAAAGTGCGCCACTGTCTGCTAGACGTAACTGGAATAGAATGCAGAGATGCTCCTCGATACAGTCCACGCCGAGCAGCTGAGAACATGATGGTAATGATTTGAAAGCGCGCTATGTCATCGTCACGGTCGCGGCAGGTTCGCGACGTGACACGACACGAAACTGTGACACTGCCCAAAAATGTTGAGACGAACCTCTCTTGTGCACGGGCTGGCACGGTCTGCAATCCCACGACGTACTGTAACTCTTCTTCCGTCCACGACTCGCGCATTCTCGGAAGACAAAGGCAAAAGAGCGGTAGATGAACTCATACCCGAACGCAAACCGGGTTGGCTAGCGCGCAAAGTATTGGAATCTCCACAAAACCGCGACTTGTTCCTAAAACTCACCAATGCGCTCGGATATGGAACACCGAAAAGCAAAGCTCAGATTAGGACGTTCGTCCTTTACGAGAGGGTTTGCTCTATAAAGGCGGACGAAGAGAAGGACTTCTGGCACAACGGTGAACATCCATTTCTCTCGCTGCGTCCTGGAGCCCCACTAATCTCATTCGAGAATGCGCACTCCCCCCTACGTTCCAGTCATGGTTCACTGTGACTGCGCTGCACATCTGGATGCTCACCGTTCGTTTCCGTGCCCTGCCACCTGCGTATGGAAGGCGGTTTGAAGACTGCATCGTGGACCATTTCTTCCAAGACGCCGAAGACCGAGTTCGCGCCATCATGCAGCCGAGCCATGACCATAAACCATACATCTTCGAATCCAAATTCTACGTGAATCCCAACGCCCCCAAGACCACAGACAAGAAGGAGCGCCTGAGTCGTGCCCCGGATCGGCTGGTCACACAGCAGCTCAAGATACTCAAGGAGCAGTGGACTGGTTTTGCCCTTGCTCTCGATCTTGGTCTTATCAAAGGCGACATGGTCATGGCTGGGGCGGTCTGGCGCAATCTGCTCGGCGCCCGTGGTGCTTCCGGCATCGCATTTGCAGATGATCCTTCTTCGCCTGCATTTAGACGCACAGTGAATCTCATCGGGGGACTCGTGGTCAATCCCGCAAAGCTCGACTTCTCAAAAGAAGCAGTGACAGATGACAATTCCGGGGTGCACGATTTCGCACCTGAGGACTGCGACAAATATCTTGCGTATCCCGAGCTGATGCTGACTGTGGTGCGATATATCCGACGAGAGTTGGTGCGACTGGAAAATGTCACAGACAAGGACATTGTGGATATGGACTGGCCAGAGCTGCATTTTGGTCGCATTAGTAGAGAATGAAGATCCTTGTCGGCTGGGAAAGCATTGTAATCGATCGGCATGTCCCGCTTCGGACTCTTTTGTGAAGAAGTCGTCCTCGAAAGTTCTCTGTAGGCCTGGACGCCGAAGACATCGGTTGCTTGCCATCGCCCGGACTTGGCGGAGGAGCTCCAAAAACTTCTGCGCAGCAGACTCAACACAGAGCAGCTGATATCGGCTCCCTCGTCCCGCTCAGTCTCATTCGGGCCGCGTTGGCAGCTCCGTTGACACTGCACGCCGCCTTTACTTCCGAGGGCGAATCCTGGCAGATCCCGCCGAACCAGTGCAACTGAACCGTGCCAGCTCCAACCCACTGCGTTCGCTTGATTCAGTTTTCGCTTATGCTGACCGTCCGCCGAGGCTATCCCAGTCCAAGCGATTTCTACTACAGCATGTGGCACAGCAATCTCCAAAGCATTTATCTGATCCCAGCGCAATATCTTTTTAGCGCTTCCGTTTCAGATTCTTTTGGCCCAGTGGCCCGCGTTCGACAACGGCATGTTCAGCCGTATCCTGTTCTATCCCCAAGTCTTCAGCCAGTGCTTGCGAGTCTTGCGCAGCCAAAGCATCGGTGGCCAGGCTCCAAAAACTATCAGTGGGTCAAAGAAGAGGTACTGCCACCCAGATCTTCACCCACTCTCTGAAAATCTGCTTCCTGCGAATCCATTCAGTTCTCCATTTCGCCCAATCGAGATCTAGCTGCTCCAATTCTGCCTCGGAAATAAGAGGAGCCCCAGACCGAAGTGGTTGAAGCTGGGTCTCTATTCTCTTGATCTATGATGGAAAAGGCCCAGCCAAGAATCAGTGGGCAACCCAGTCACGACGACGGAATCACAACCCACAACTTTTGCCAGTTCTGAGATCTGTTCGTCCAAATGATCGTCCGTTGGTGTCATTTTCAGCTTCGCCAGTTCTAAAGCAGGCGATGATTGAGCACAGAAATGAGACAGGAAACGGGAGCACTCCGCCACCAGTATTCAGGGTCTTCACTTCACCAGCCAGGGTTCTATTGTTGTTCTCGATTGTCTTAAATTCTTCCTCAAAAGCAGCAATACGTTCAGGAGGGACAGCTTCAATGTTGGCTTGATTGGCGACGAAGAAACTTGTTTTGCCTAGACGCAAGAGGTTAACCCTGACAATTGCCACATTTACTGCTCGAAAGGGATATACCATATGTCTTTTGCACCAGGTCCCCTTTTTCGGCTAACACTAGCAGGATCTTTTGTACGGCAGCCTTTGGCACGGCACCTTGAATGGGGGATTTCGTCGTCGGAAGACATGTGCGGCACGGGGGACAGACCTTTCAAATTCGCGGCAACGTCCACGGCACCATAAGGGCGGTTCATCTGCGGCAAACCCAGTCGGCACGCAAGGCGCAACGCGAAAGCAGAATTGTTCACCCGCTTCACATAATCTAGAACAAGATCCTCTGCTTCCCGACCCTTGAGGATCTTGATATCTGATTTCTTCGGTTCTGATTTCGGGGCCATGTGTGCATGCGGGAGAAACTGGCCGTCGAAGAAATAACGCAAAGGAAGAGATGCGCCCAAAGAAGCAATGTGGGGGAAAGTACACGTGACCGTGCGTGTGGCCGATCCCCTGATCTCAACCGAAGGCGCCCGGTAGCGCAATTGCGATTCGAATTGGGCATTGTCTGCAAGTCTCCCACCAGCCCGAAGACGTTGACATGCCTTCACAACTGGCCGTTTCACTCTAACGCATGGACATGCGCCGCCGTCGGGAGTGTCGCTCTTGATGTGCAGCATGAGAAATGGAGCACATCATCAAGAATGCAACGGGGCAAGTTGGCTGCAACAGGCAACGGGCGGCATCGGTTGGTTGTATGATTTATCTGTGACCGAACAAGACGCTTTCGGACCGAGAGCCATATATCCTGAGATTTCCTCGAGGTGTTGTTCGAAGAAGTTCATGTGCATCCGCTGACCAGAAGGAATCAATCGAAAGATGCTGAACATGTGAGAATCGGCGGTTTTTTCTGCATAGAAAGGAAGGATCGCATGCTCATCTTTTCGTCTTTCAGGGAGTAGAATAATCCCGATGCTGCATCTCACCAACTCCGAGACTACGCGCCGACTAGGCCGAAAGGAAGGGAATACATGTGTCAAGAACAGCGCTCCAACAGTTTCGGTGTGTTCTCGGGCCTCGGCTAGGTTCAAGGGAGAAAGCAACTTGACATTCAAACATGAAGATTGTTGTCGATTGCCATCTCTGCCGCGTCTTTCGCCATCACTGTCGCATTCTGCCGAGTCCACCCACCAATCAGGGCGCGCGTAGGGGCTGTCGTTTCCGGGCGATGAGAGTTTAGTGAGCATGGCCATGCACTCCGATCACCTAGCGCGGATCCGGGCAGAGGACAAAATCGGACTGGCTATTTCGAATCTCTGATAGATGCAGGGAAGCAGGCATAGTATGGTCACAGGGGTGGGAGACGAGCTGAGCCGTACGAGCAATGATTCCTGCAGGTCCGGTGTTGCGTGGGTTGCCGCAGAGCTATGTAATGTTAGGTGACATTAGTCGCCACTATATCGTGTTCCAATTCTCGCTGACAACCTCCAGGAAAGGCTTTGATTAAACGGCGACCGCTTTAAGAGACAAGCCCTGATCCCCGACCAACACTCGAATGCGATGCCGACTTCGAGTTACCCAGAACCCAAGAAAGAGAAGAAAACGCGTCGGCGACTGCGTCTGAGCTGTGTTGAATGTACCAAACGCAGACAAGTCCGCCTTTCTCCTCTTGCGCTGCTTGCTGTGCTCATCCTGCTCCAGCGATGTGACAGGGTATATCCTTGTGGCCTGTGCGTTTCCCGTGGAGTGGCCCATCTCTGTCGCTGGGAAAATGTGCCCGTCGCGCGTCCGACTCCAGCTCGGCCGCCTGTCGTGCCTGAAACTGGCGCGCTGGACACGATACAACAGCTGTCGGCTCGCATCGCAAGCCTCGAGCAGACAGTTGTCACGGAGCGATTGCGTCGCGATCCGTCCGACGTTGAAAACACGATCTCCACTCCCAGCCCTCATTCGCGTTCTCTCTCTTTACCGACAGACTGCTCGCCGCGCAACTCTGTCGTGGGCCTTTCCAGTGGGAACTCCTCGTACTCTTCACCAGAACCTGACGAAGTGTCCGATCCATTTCCAAAGCTGTCTGATGCCGCTTATCGAACAGTATCTTCCCTTGTCCAACAATCTTCCGCCCATCACGGCGAGTTTCTAGGGCTCGGAAGCTCTCTTTCTGCGTTGTACTCGGTGCATAAAAATCGGCTTTGTTCTGGCAGATCGTCACTCATGATCGCTGCAGATTAGTTCGAGAAAGCACCCGCGCCATCTACACGTGACCTCCTCCCAATCCAGCCAGTTATTCCAGTTATTGCCTCCTGGAGAGGCCAACCAGACATCACTCATCCGCCTGATCCAAGCTATTCCGCCGACGCAACAGGTGACGGCGCTATGCCGCATGTTCTTCAGGGATGTGAACTGGCGATTTGGTGTTCCGGAGGAATGGTTTTTGCGAACTTGCTGCGAGATGGATCTCGTCTTGCGTTACCACGCATCGCAGGTCAAGATCGACGCGAACTGGCTCTCTCTCCTGTTTGCGGTTCTTGCGAGTGCGCCTAGGCCCGGCCTTGAAGCGGGCAAAACCGACGGTCCGGAGCAGCACTTTACACATGCCGTGGCGGCAGCCAGAGCAGCAGAGAGCGCATATCAGCTTCGGCCAACGATGAGCCGGACGTCGGCAGCGCAGGGGGCCGTTCTGAGCTGTTTCGCTGCCCCGTTGCTTTGCGACCATCTCATCGCCAGGGGACGGGTGTCCGAAGGGTGGAAGCTCATCGGAAACGCGATTTTGTCTGCTCAGTCGGTGGGCCTGCATCGGGACCCAGGACGGCAGAACTCGCTGGAAGAAGTCATGAATGATGACGAGAAACTGCTACGCCGCAGAGCTTGGTGGGGTCTCTTCTCGTGGGAAAGGTCTGTCGGTCTGGCTTCATGTGCGCACGCCTCTGGCACTGAGACTGATCGTCTCCAGGATGTGCACTACCGTCCTCGCCCGGCCCGCAATTCTCCGGAACGACGCAAGCGACGTCATGCTCCCTCCAGCCATCAATGCAGACGGCACTCGTAATCTGTTCAATGTTTATCAGAGACTGCTGGTTCAGCTGATGCATCTGGCGGGTGAGATGGCTGAAAAGGTACTGTGACGAGACTGTATGGTTGCATCCGCCTTGCTGAACGGATCTGCCCACAGTGTTTCGGCGTCCGCTCTCCGACTGGTGTGGACGTGCGCAATCTCGATCGCAAATTCGAACAGTGGGAAAGCCAGCTTCCTGCTGAATTCCGATCAGACAGCCCGAATTATCTGGACAATCTCCCTGTCTCCGAATTCGGCTCACTCTTGGCACAAAAGCACACACTGTGGACATGGTATCTCCTGTGCCGGTCGAAGCTGCATCTTTCCGTACTCACACGCGGGGAAGACACTTTCTCTGACATCTGGGGACAGTCCATCAGCCGGAAACAGAGTCGCGAGCTATGTCGGAACCTCTCTTCCGATTTGATCCGGCTCCAATGCAATGCGAGTCAGCCCGAGCAGTCGACCGCGCTGCTTGGAAGCAATTGGTACTTCCCCGGGTATTTCTCTCTCACGGAGGCTGCGGTCACCCTGTACTGTGTCGGCCGTCCCGGTGACTCCGACACCCTCATCCGCGAGGCAATGCTCGTTCTCCAGCAGGCCGGAAACTCGGCGATGGATCTTGGAAATGCAGCTCGGAACGGCAGCGAAGCTTTGGGCGTTCTGATCCAAGAAGTGGCGAACCAAAGCCCGCATGATCCCGTGCTCCCAACTGAATTTGCTGTATATCCGGCCACTCAATTTCTGCCGAACGTAGGACCCTCTTTTGAGTGGTACTCCTCCGATAACCTGGTGCACTATGGAGAGGGGCACAATCTCGATGGGATCCTATACGATGATAACAAATCGAATCTGATTTACACATAATCCTAATCCTCGAAGGCGGCTATCTTTATCATTGGTGTACAAAACATATATGTTGTATCTGTACAATCGCATGTACGTTTAATCACTGCGGGAATCCCAACCGCACGACGGGCAGCGGAAGGATTGTCGAGAAAGACATGTGATATGATCGACAGAATCATCAGCTTTGGGAAGAGGGGAGAATTCCTCCACGGATACAGATCCAGAACGAGGGGGCCAAGGCTCAGAAGGAAAAGCATCCTCGAAGCCATACACAAAGCAGAGCACCTAGACAATCAACCATTGCTCAAGAATGGGAGGATTTCCAGAATGATCGTGAGGAGTGCGGGAAGACGGGAAAGAACAAAAGAATCGGCTTTCCTAATTGGGGTCAGTCCACACACTTGCCGAGCGCCCTATTCAGTCGGTGTTTGCTCTCCACCACCACCACCTCAGGGTGAGTCTGCAAAGTCGGGCTCTGAGCGGACTTTCCTCGGTCATCTCTGTTCCCGGCATCCGATGCTGGTCTGCCTGTCGACGCGAACAACAACCTAGCGCCGCCGGTGATCATCATTTGACGTCTTCCCTCTCTCCCATCTCTCCAACTACCAATGCCCGTCCCTCTATGGACACCCAAGCAGCCTCCAGCTGAGGCCCGCTACAACGTTACAACCGAATGTGAGCGCCCAGTGTCATCACGCCATACACCTGATTGACGTTGCGTTCACTAGTCCCCAGCCTAGGGTTGCATTCAGCTGCTGCCAGTGGGAATGTGGGCTTAGTAGAGTATGCACTGACTCGTGGCCAGCCTATCAACTCTGTTCTTGGTGCGTTCACAGTCTCGTCCTCGACAAACCCGTCTGATCCTCTTGTAGATGGTGTACTACCACTTCACGCCGCAGCCGCCGGAGGCAGCGAGCAAATCGTCAAACTCCTCATCGAGCGTGGGGCCGACGTGAATGCACCGAGACTGCCTCGCCGATATTCCAACGACAAAAATCGAGACGCCGCGGGACCAATTGTTGGAACGAGTGGCAGCACCCCGCTCCACTTCGCCGCTGCGAATGGGAACTCGGACATCGTCACGACCCTTTTACTTCGGGGAGCTCGGGCAGATCGAGCTGACAAGCATGGGGTGACCGCCGAAATGCTCGCGCGCCAGCATGGCTGGAATGAATGCGCGGACATTCTTCAACAGTGGGTGCTCAACAAAGATCGGGACTTGAGGGAGAGAGAGCCGCCCGTCGAATTCAGCGAGCCCACGATTCTACCGCTGTGCCGTCTCACGAGCCGTGACCGCGACGGCTCCCCAGGCGACACTGAAACATCCACACGCAAACGCATCCACATGAAGCGATCTATGGACACTGCACTGAGCATGCTCAAGAGCTCGTCCGAGGTCCTAAGGCCCCCCAGCAACAATCTTCCCATGGCAAGGGCGACGCCGCCATCTCCGATAAGGCCATTTGGGGAGTACACATTCTATCCTACAAGCGGACCTGTCAGTCCGATTGACCCTTCATCCCGTCGACCATCCTTGCCGCAAATATCGTACCCGGCTCCTCCATCAGTGAACCGCAAAGCTTCGCTGGCTTCCCGAACTCCGCGCAGACCACGATCAGCGGGAAATGGTGCTGAGCCAGAGACTCCTCCGTTTGGACGGGGTGGTGCCGGTCGCAAGCTGGGCAGCAAGTATTCGTTGCTGAATATGTTCAAGAAGGGTCAGGCTGAAGGGTCAAGCCCCAGTTCTGGTGTCCCTTTAGAGAGAACGAGCACCCAGACCAGCATCTCCAACCCTTCGGGTTTACCCTCCCCGACCAATAACGCGACACAAATGGCCGATTCCGTCCTCTTCGCAGCCAGCCCAACTCGAGCCATGTCAGGCTCGCCCTCGCGGCCACCGATGCCGTTGGCTGTTGATCTGCACAATGCGCTAGCACAGCATCAGCGTCGTGATCGATCTGGGTCTGCTGCGAGTGCGCCATTTGAGTCGGAGGGCATCTCAGGGTCTCCCAGCAGTCTTTCACGTCTAGCTGTCTTGCGGCCACGTGAGCGATCGGGTTCCCGAGGTAGCAGTGCTGGAAACCGCAGTGGATCTGTTTTCGACGACGACGTTGTCATCACGCCAGATGGCAAACCCCGAGCTGGTATTTTGAGAGCGCACAACCGGAGTAATTCGGGGCCGGTGCCTCCTGGTCTACGGGCGCTCCGGTTTGATCCGGAAATGACCACCAGTCGAAAACACAGCCCAGGACCACCCAGCAGTCTAGGACTTCGAGGAAGCACGAGCGCTGGCTCGCTGTCCCGGTTGCGGAATGAAACCAGCAACTATGGAACCCCCGATTCGGCGCCCGCTGCTGTATCCGACTTTGATCTGGAGGCTTTGAAGACTTTCATGGGCGACGATGAAGAAGAGGACCTCGAGTACGGGCAGCAGATGTCGCCTCCCGTTTCTCCTGGTGAAATCCAGCCTTGTGCGGAGCGCAGCTTTCCATTCTCCATCCACGAAGCGCCACGTTCTCGAGGCGCATCGGTCAGCAGCGCGGCCACAACGGACAGCCAGGTCGATCTGCAAGTTATGAGCGCCAGCAGCACAACGAGTGGAAGTGGGAATGGGAGTGTGGCAGTGACAACTCCGCCTCCGTCCGCCGCTCAGACGCTGATGCCCCCTGCTGCGGAGGGAGGGCGGATAACTGAACGCCGGACACCTACACCGTTGGATATCAACCTCAGCTTGATCTCGTCGCATGCCCAGGCTGAGGCTCTAGTCCAGAAGGAACTCAAAGATATACTGTCCATGGGCAAGAACGGTGCTGGTGTAATGCCTCTGAGCGCCAAACTCGCTGCGTACGGCGAAAGCTTACAGATCGAGCGCAAATTCAGGACCGATCCGTCGCCGTCTGATGATGAGACGATCTTACGTCTCCCGCGGACGACCTCGTCATCCTCCTCTCAGAGCAGCCAGTCGCAGCGGGAAAGCATCCAGCGCCAGCACAGCTTCGACGGCCGAACGAGGCAGTCGAACGCAACAGCGGATGATGAAGCGACCCCGACTGTGAAAGTGGTGCACCATCTGTCGCGGTCGACTTCGGCGATATTGTCGCCCATCCCGATCGTTGTGCAGACGTCAGTGACCGCCGCGCAGGTTGTCGACGCTAACAACCGAGTGCGGAGAGCCCGGACGCCAGATCCTGATGCTGCGACGGGTCTCAGTCGCGTGAGCTCTCTAGATGGGTACGAGTCGGCTGATGTCGAATTGGGGCCTGCTCTGACTCGGGTGTCGACTGCGCCGATGATGCCGACCACGGCAACGAGAGACCGTGACCGCGCGAGGAATCTGGCGAGTGCAAACAAGCTCACACGGATGGGATTCGCGCCGCAACAGATCAGGCCGGACCGGCAGGATCCGTCGCAGTCTAAGCGTTTCGGATTCAAGTCTCTGATGCAGACATTCAAGGGCAAGACCTGACCCTCGCGTCGGATGTCGCCTGTACTACACTGTCCACTGTCATCCGCTGCTTTCTTGTCCAGGCATTGTTTTCAAAGTCTCCCATGTTGTATGACCTATGTTCGCACTGTACATCTTGCAATTATATATTGTCATCCTGTCCGGGCCTCTATCGTGGCCAGCGCCTCTTGCATGATGGCCTCGAATGCTGCGATCACGTGCACGTCGGTCGTGCGTGCTGCACCGATTGCCATGCGCACGCAGAAGGTCCCGTTGAGGGAGGTTTGGGTGATGGCGAGGTCGTGGCGCTTTGCGAGGCGAGCAAAGAAAGATTCGTTGAGGGCATTCAGTGAGGCAGAATCGAAGCCCGGCGGAACAAGTCGGAAGACAGTCAGGGCCAGAGAAGGCGGGGTGACGATCTGGAGAATCTCAGATTTCTCCACCAATTTGACAAAGAGCTCATTCGAAGCGATGCCCTACTCATGATGTGAGAAGAAGCCCACAGATCACAGCGAAGGAACTCACCTGGCGGATATGCTTCTGGAAACCCTCCACACCGTACCCTCGGAGAACAAACCAGAGCTTCAGCGAACGGAAGCGTCGCCCGAGGGCAAGATGCCAGTTCCGGTAATCGACAACCGTGCCAGCGTCGCCGTGTGCTGTGCGGAGGAAAGGCGGGGTGATGTCGAGCGCATCTGTCAGTGTCTTCCGACTACGCACCCAGAGTGTAGATGCGTCAAAGTTCACTAGACCCCATTTATGGAAGTTGGTGCAAAACGAATCAGCAAAGGCGTTGATGAATTCGAGCTGCAGAGGCTCGCGATATTCTTCGCAGCACAGTGCGATGCCAGCCCAGGCTGCATCAACATGCAGAAAGACCTGGGGATGGTCTTTCAGAACAGCTCCGATTTCAGCCAGGTTATCCACGGCCCCGGATGAGGTCGAGCCCACGGTCGCGACTGTGCTCTGCCGTCAATCATGTGAACAAGCAGAAATCAACGCTGCATTACTCAGCACGAACGGATGCCGGCTAGCTGCTGTATCTTCTTGGAGAGCGTTGCGCAATGTCTGTCCCTGAAGAGCATACCTGTCCTCAGGGAGCACCTCCAAAGCTCGGACTTTGAGGCCCAACACTCGGCCGGCCTTGAGCCCGAGCGAGTGAGTCTGAGTTGTGACATAGATCACGAGTTCTTCCAGACGCGCATTCGGGGACTGCAACAGAAAACGTTCCCGAGCAGCAACAATCGCAATCAAAGCCGAGTCTGAGGCCGTGGTCTGGATTGCGCCCCCGCCGACACCACCCGAGTTGTAGAACGCGCGGTCGAGACCCAGCAAGTTGGCTGCCCAATCGACAACGACGGCTTCCAGCTAGAACTGGATGTGAGCCTTATGTTCGGATCTTCGGATCTGATCGACTTGCCTCGGTGGAAGCTGGACTGCATGACCACTGCGTAGGCAGTCAATGAGGGACTGACATGAACTTCCTTCCAAAGTAACTGACGTTGAATCCCGGATTCGGTACCGCAGTAGCATATAGATCGCCGAGAATGCCCTCAAAGGATCCTGCGGTGGGAAAACTGACATCATCAGAGATAGGCATTGAGAGATATCGAATTCGATCCGTACTACGCAAAGAAAGATGGGTGCTGCCAGTGGGTGAGACCGGGCATGATCAGTCGATCGTAGTCCTGCGCGATAACGCCAAAGTCTTCTCCCTGACGAATCGTCAGTTTCCGGTGAATAGACCACCGAATCAGACTTGCTTGTTCAGGCGGGACTTCGGGCAACAACGGCGCAAGATAACCAGGTTCGACGTTTGAGCTCACATTCCGCGTCTCGATGGAAGAGTAGTAATCGCAAATTCGGTCGATGGCGGCATAGCCTGCCTTGCGGAATTGTTCAATGTCCATAAGTCGGAGTTGAAAGCGGTTGATATAGTATGATGGACAGACTCGCCGATTATCCATCATCGCCAGACCGTGATCGCACCGCCGATCATCCAAGCCCGCAGCGCAGAAATCATGCGCTTTCACGACGAAGAGATTTTTGTGTTCGTTGCTGGGGACAACCGCCGGTCAAGAAGGACGACAATTGCGTCAAACGGTTGACGTGGTTGACACCGTTTTGTGGATCTACCTACAATGCCCGTGAAGGCACATGTCTATAGATTTTTGAATGGGCAGGCCACATCATGTCGGATGGTCGTCTCGCCTCGACCAGGCAAGCAAGTAACGTTGGGGACAGATTTCTGAAGATGGAACGGGAAACAATACGCGCCGAATCCAGTGGCACTCGAATTGTTGCTTACATAACAACCACGCTTTTTGCACGAGCCCTCCACTCCTTCCCCATCACCCCCCGCAATGTCGCGCGTTGGGACTCGGTCTCGCCAGCCTAGTCCCACAGGGACCTCCTTCTCCGGAATCTCCAACTATCGCACAGAGTCCTTCCGTCGGGATCGTGACAAGAATGTTCCTCCTGTCCCGCCAATCGACTACCGTGCGGTGTCAGAGGTGCACTTCAACGAGCTCGACCGATACCTGGCTGCGTATCTTGCACGGGGTGGGTGATTCCTCATTGCTGACTTCCGGTAGAACTAAGTCTCGTCCCAGCTGCACCGAATTCGCGCACGTCGGCCCGACAGAAGCTTACTCGCTTGACTATACAGCAATTCCACGAGTTGTCCACCGACGTTTACGACGAGCTTTGCAGGAGGAAGAACGAGACACAGAGTGCGCTTCCTCCCTCCCCCGCTGCCGCCGTGTGTGGCTCTGATACATGTGGCAGTTCCGTTCCTGCCTGTGCGGGAGGAGTTCCACCCTAAGCGAAATCAAGCGCGACAGAAGCTCGCCACTCTCCCTGTCTCTCGTTTTGAAGATCTCTCCAGTGATGTTTACTTTGAGCTAGGCCGACGGTATCCCGAGTTCAAGGAAAATGTACGTCTGTATTCCCTTATCCATAGTTACACCGTTCACACGGTTCTAGCCCTCTGGCGGCGTCACTCCAGGCTCAAACTACGACGACCAGCCCGTATCGGACTTTCCTAATAACTCATCTTCCCGAGGCAATGGGCGCACGTCAACCGATCGTCCTGGCGACAGCGGTTACGGCGGCAGCATAAGCAGCCGCCGCCCATCTGAGGATCGACGTAGGCCGAGCGAAGATTATCAGACAGGGCGAAGAAGCGCCACGAGTGGCGACGACAGCAGCAACGCATATACCCCCAGCGCTAGCTCTCGCAGGAAACCCTCTCAAGATACCACACGGCGTTCAGAGGATCGGGAGCGTGAACGCGAACGGGATCGAGATTATCGCGGTGGGCGAGGCGGATCGAGCATCAGCGGCATGAGCGATTCGAGTAATATGACTGCCCAGCAGCAGCAGAGCACGACATCAACCATCATCCCCAACACGTCCACGATTGAGGAGGAGTACATTGAGGTGCCTTATGGGCGAGAGGCTCGTGAAAGTGCTGCTTCCACCACGTTCAACGACGACCGGGACCGTAGAGACGCCGACCCGGAACCCCCAGACACAGCGAGTGACTATCCGCTGAGTCCCCAGAGCCCACCGGGCGGTTTGAGTGGGCTGGGTGCCAGATTGCTCAAGGAGGATAGCGGTGAAGAAGACTACGATAACGCGAAGTTTGGGCGCAGCAGTGTTACATCTGATAGGGAGCGTGATCGAGGGCGCGGCAATAACGATGAGATGGACAAGCTACGGCGCGACTACGAACTGCAGATTGCTACGACGACGACCCAGATATCAATCATCCAGCGGGAACGCGACCAGGCCAGGCAGGAAGCCAGTGAACGGGATCGGCAATGGCAGGATTCCGAGGTCCGTCTGCAACAGGTGGAGGACGAACTGGCTGGGGTCCGTCGTCAGGCTGAGGTGCAGATGGCTGAGATGATCGCGCTGCAGCGGGAATTGGACGAGTTGCAGAGCGCTCGACAGCGTGAACAAGAACAGGCTCAGAAGGACGAAGAAGAGATTCGGAGCCTGCGGGAGCGTTGTGAGGAGTTGGAGCAAGGCCAATCGGGCGGCGGCGGTGCCGACCCTGAGGTGGTCGAACAACTCCGCGAGGATATGCAGGGTCTGCTCGCAGAGTTGGGAGACTTGTCCAGCCAGAACGACGAACTGCTGTCCGCCAAGGACGCCGATGCTCTTATGATTCGGGATCTCGAGGCGCAAGCGAAAGACTATAAACGCAAATACGAACAAGCCAAGACGGAACTACGCAGTTTCAAAGGTGAGTTCGGCCCAGTGTAGACGATGTTTCAGCTGACTAGTTGACAGCGACGTCGCAACTGTTCATTCAAGCGCCAAAGATGGACCGCCCGGAAGACCAACTGCCTGTTTCTGCCGACGGAGGTGTGCTGGACGTCCATATCACTGCATTCTTGTCGTCTGTGGACAGCTTGCTCACAGCAGGACGATCAAATGCGCCTACTCGGGTGCTCGCACCGATGAAGGCCGTGGTCAATGCGGTGTCAGCCATCGTCGACGACATTCGTGCATTTGAAGCGCGCCCCTCGCGTGATGTTGATGATGATACACTCGCGTCGCTGCGAGATCGAGCGGAGGCCACGCTCAGCAATCTGGTGACTGCTACGAAAACACATGCGACGAGTTCCGGAATGTCGCCTGTCAGTTTGTTGGACGCCGCCACCAGTCACGTAGCCGCGACGGTTACGGAAATTGCGCGAATGATCGCTGTGCGGAAGTCGACTCGTGCAGAGCAGGAACTGGCTATGCCTGCGACGCCGGTGTCGACTCTGCGGACGATAGAGGAGAACAAGCCGTCTCAGACACATCAGCGTAGACCGAGTGCTGCGACGTCGACCACCACATCACCCACTTCGACTCGCAACGGGCCACGAGTGGCACAGCGGAGTCCTGTGTCGCCGATTTCCCCGAGACGTCGACCGCCATCGGAGAACTCGAGCTCGGAGACCACAAACTCGCCACCCCCGATATTCGACCAGCCATCTAATAACGACCCGGTGGTTGCTGATGGAGCGGAAGATGCATGGGCTGAGCTCAAGGTATGTGAACATGATTGTGTAAGTGAGACAACAGTTTTGCTGACGAATCGTAGCCATATCTAGAAGCGCAGAGCGAGTCAATCGTGTATGCGATCCAGAGTGTGCTGTCCGGGGTCCGGAGCCCCACGCCATCTCCGACGCTGAACGAGAATCTGACTCAAATCATCACGATAGTGTCGAGTATTGTGGCTGTGTGCAACGATAATCTCCCGCCGGCGTCTGCTCAGCAGGGCAACGACATTCTGCGCGAACTCGGGGACCATGCGAACCGGCTCAGCGAGGTCCAGGCGCTGCCTGAAGTGACGAAGGATTCGCGGCAGGTGATGGCCAAGTCGAGCTTTGCGATTGCCAATGCCATGAAGGGACTAATGAAACTGTAATTTTCGCACACGGCCATGTACCATAGCATCCATCTTATCATTTATCTACATCAGCGACACTCGATTTCCAATTCCATCGTTTTCCGGGGGCACTGGCATGTCTCCACCGCGGTCAGACACGAACGATTGGTATCTGCAGCAATGAGACACACGTCACAGCAAAAGTATGTAGACAGGACCCACATTCTCTTCAAGCGCGCTCCTTCTTCGGGTGATACGGAGGGCCGAGTCGATTTGAGCGCACGGGATATATGCGAGGGCTCGATCTCGAAAGTCTGGCGAGATTGCGATTTTGTGCCTTTTGTCTTTTCCTCGGGCTGTGCTTTACTGGCATAACTGCGTTTGATTTGCCGGAGCTGAACAGAACGTGAGAATGGTGCACAGAAAGCAGCGTTGATTTGCACTACTGACCCTGCGCTGGAGAGCCACATCCTCGGCCTTGGTGGTGGTTTCCGGCCCCGGTCCGCCGATCACAGTGAACAGCACCCGGCTTTCTTCGTCTTCGTTTTCAGCTGGACCGCGGTCAGAGGCTGGCGTGTCGGCAATCGACGCGTGCACGACTTCGAGGTGGGCGTTGTACAGTAAAGCCTGCAGGTCGGCACCCGAATAACCGTCGGTTTCGAGTGCGATCTCTTTGAGGTCCACGGCCGGTGAGAGTGTCACTTTGCTGGCCACGGCGCGCAGGATCTAATGTCTCGTCAAGCTCAAGTCCTCGTCGTGCACAGGTTTGTACTTGCGTCGATGCGGTCTTCCAGGCTGGGCATGTCGCAGAGCACAGCTTTGTCGAGTCGCCCAGGACGCAGCAGAGCGGAGTCGATGAGGTCAGGTCGACTGGGGGCTTTTCATTCGAGTTTCTCGAAGCAGGCAAAGGAAAACGAACGAACCTGGTGGCTGCAAGCACGTAAACCCCATCCAAGCCCTCGGCACCATCCATCTGTGTCAACATCTGATTTACCACACGGTCTGTCACACCCGTGCTGTCGTGGCCTCTGACAAAAAAAGCCGTCAGAAAAGTCGCGGCCGCAGTCGAATATTCCAAACCTCTTCGGCGCGATCGAGTCAAACTCGTCGAAGAACAGCACACACGGCTTCGCAGCCGAGGCACGCTCGAACAACTCTCGCACCGATTGTTCGCTGGCGCCGATGTACTTGTTGAGGATCTCGGGGCCCTTGACGCTGATGAAGTTGAGGCCACATTCCCGAGCGACGGCAGAGGCCAATAGCGTCTTCCCGCATCCGGGATAGCCGTACAGCAGCAGTCTGGAAGAGGCGTCAACCCCCATGACACTGAAGTTCCGAGAGAGCGCACTCACCCCGATCTCAAACGCAGAGGCGACTGGGCGAATATCGCCGCATATTTCGTTGGCCACTCGAGAGTCTCGCGCAGCACCCGCCGGGGTTCATTCAGACCGCCGATGTCGGACCAGGTTACGTCCGACTTTTGTAGATTTGAGTTGCGGAGAGACAGTGGCGTAAAGTCGATTTGCGCAGCATCAAAGTCTTTCGATGTCAAAAGTGGTTGCTGTGCGGTTGCATCAGCCGAAATCTAGCCCAGACAATGTGAGCGCTGACCTGAGCGGAGCGGATGGCCACTTGATGCACTGCACGAGAGACAAGATCCAGCAAATCCGAAGCAGAATAGCCTTCTGTTTGTGTAGAGATGGCTGTATAATTGGGGGGTGAGACGCTGTCGATTGCGAGATCCGGTGCCGATGCCAGCCGCTGTTGCACGAGGTGCGCCAAGATCTACAGTCTCCGTCAGCTCCATCCTGAGGAAATGTCAGAGACAGTCATACGTCTTTGCGTGCCGCTTTGTTAGGTGGCTTCAGATTGACGACGTCTTCAAAGATGTGTGCGCCGTTGACAAGTGGATGGAGTGCTGCCACCGAAGTCGCTGTTGCGAGGAGGATCACGCCCTGAGAGTTCAGCGGCATCGACCGGGCTGAAGCACTAAACACGGCGACAAATAGCTCGGCGAGGTGGCGAGTCCGGAACGAGGAGTTCTGTCCACGTGAGCTTGCAGTATACAAAGACAATCGGGCCTTCACTTACTTCAGTTTCGATGGGAATCAACTTGTCTAGATTGTCCAAAACCAAGATGGACGGTTTATGCCAGATGGCCTTCTTGAGCCAGAAGCTCATGAGTGCCTTGATGGTCTGTACAGACCGTTCTGTATGACGCGAGACGTCCACGTATAGCGTGTCTTGGGCGACACGATCAATCAGCCGTTTTAGCAGCTCAAAGCAAGGGGCTTACATGTCAGCGTTCTTGGATCGCTCTGCAGCTCTTCTGTGACCATCTGGACGATGGAAGTTTTACCGACACCCGAGCTGCCCGTGAGAAGCAGGCCCGGAGTCCCTCGAACAGCGTCGGTCCCCGAATGCATGGCAAGCATCCGACGGCAGAATTGCGAGCATTCCAGGAAAACATCGTCCACACCCGCGAGAGATATTTTCGGGGGGGCATCGCGCGTCAGCTCTGCGGGCCCTTCGGTCGACTGCATAGTATCGGTCTCGGGAGGCCGAGACAGACAGACCCGACCGCAATCTTGCGCAGCGCGGCAGATGATCTGTCCACGGGGCACCTGCTTGTCAGGGCGCACGAACACGTCCACCGGCGCCGCTGCGAGTTCACGATTCTCTTCCGCGGCCAGTGGGTCGACCGGAGGAGAGAGCCGCTTGAGTAGGGCCTTGTAATAGGTCGTTCCATCGTCAGTCGCTGTTGGATGCAGAATCGCAAAGGACTCGGGCGAAACGAGACCGAATTCCTCAGCACCGGGAATTGCCGCGTTTATCAGCCCAGGTGCGAGAACCCTGAGAATCTGGGGCGCCACGACTGCAGCTGCATTGGGCTTGGATTCATTCGCGTTTTGGCTTGTTGCAGCAGGTTCTCGGACCGGAGTGCCGTTCGCCGATGCTTTTTTGGAGTGCAGTTTCGGAGCTATCGATACCTCGGTATTCGTGGTCAACAGCAGTGCATTGCCTTTAGATTCCGGAACGATGGATACTAGAGCGCAACAATGAGCAGCGCCGATGGAGGTCATTTGCCGGTACATACCCACTCTGAGACGCACTCTCGTGCGGCCCAGAACCCACACGTCGATTTCCTGGCCCACTTTGGCTACCCGCACTTGCGAAAGAAGAGTAGACTCGACGTGGGAGGCATGGATTTCCTAGGCGCGATGCTTGAGCGTGATTCGCATCGGTCGGGCCTAGCGGGGATGCTTACGATGATTTCCCAGTCGTCGGAGGTGAGCGGCTCGGTAGCAACCGAGGTGGCCATCGAGAGGTCGTGCACAAGTCCGATCTCGACCTAGAGTAGTTGAGTCGCATGTAGCCGCTCAACGCGTGTCGAGCCCACAATATCGTTCTGCTTGATCCCTAGGCCGAGCGCATACTGCGGGTCAATCTCCACAGTCTCTAATCCCTTCTCAGACGGATCAGACGTGTTGAATTGCGCCAACGACGACGCGGAAGCCATTCCGGTCCATCCGACATAGACTTGGAGTTTCTCTTGCGACACTACAGTCAAATGGACCGCTAGATGTTGAGGACGCTGGCATGATTGAAATCTGATTGAATATATTTTGAACACGGATTCCAGAAGCACTGAACGCGTACAATGCTGCGTTCTACCAGAGGGCCATAAATCGAGATGGGGAGGTTGACAAGGGACGACTTGAGGGAAACATAGTGGACACGCGCTCGTCGCGGCATAAGACAAGTGTACGCGTGATGTCAATTATTACCATGTGAAATACCACAAGCTTGGCCTTCCCCATTCTGTCCCGCATCCGTCGACTTTTTTGGACTGCGTAAGGCCGGAGGCTTCACAATGCCGACTGCCACGATGACGGCCACGGCTCAGGCTCCCTCGACTCTCAAGCTCAAGGCCCCAGCGTCCTCTGCCCAAGTCACCCTGCAGACACTCTACCACCGTGCGGCACGCGCATTCCTGCTGCGACAAGTATCTCTCGTCCACTCCCTGCTCGAATCCGCCTTTGTCCTGCTCCACCCCCCTCAGCAGCTGCAGGATCCAGATGAATTTGCGGTCCTGCGGAGTAAATGGGATCTACTCCGCATCACCTTCGAAACCACCGTGTACACATCCCCTCCAGACCCCTCTGCGTCGGATCTCCCCCACGACCTGAGGCAACTCGCGGCCCAGCCGCCGCACATCTACATCAACTCCACCTACCAGAGGTCCTTGAAGCTATTCACACCACCGGCTGTGCCCGCACAGGCGTCTCATATCCCTTCAAGCGTGATTCTCACGTTGGCGTATTCAAGCCTCAAAGTCGACGCGGCGGACTCTGGGCGCGTTGTAATTGAGGATTGGCTTGCCTCTCGACAATATGCGGTCGTAAGCGAAAAGGATGCGGATGACGGGTATCAAAAGGCCGTGGAGGCGTATTGCCTACATATTCTGCCTAAATTAGAGCAGTGGGAGTACGCGAAGGAGTTTCTGGATTACGAGAGCGAGTTGGCTCCAGATGTGAGAAAGGTGAGCCGTCGAATCGTAACGGGCGACCTGCCTGCCTAATGTTTGCAGAACATCCAAGCCACACTCGAAACTTCCTACGCTCAAGCAATCGCAGCGAAGCTGCCACCGCCGAAAGCGGCCCCGAGACCTCACTCTCCAACTCCCTCCAACTCCTCCTCGTCGTCATCGCTCTCCTCGACTGCATCGGCCCACACCGTCTTGCCATCAACGCCGCGACCGAGATCGAATTTGACAAGGCGCACTCCTTCGACCATATCTGACAGCACGGCCACCCCTCGAGCACGGTCTGCGGCTGTCCGAGCGACCTCGCCGCCGCAGCACTCGGCGTCGCTGCCGCGACTGTACACCCCGGGAGCGCCCACGGAACGAACTCCGCCGCTTTCGGGATACGAGCTGATCCGCGCGACACTAGCGCCGTACTTAACACCGCGAGCCAAGCTGTCGCTCGCATCACTCGTCACGTTTCTCCTCCTGTTTGCCGTGCCTCTGCTCGTCCGACGCCGGCGCACCAAAAGTATTGAGCCTGCGGCCGGCAATGCAGAGGCCGTCCGCCGGAGGCTCGTAGCAGCACACGTGACCAATACAAGCGCAGGCTGGATCCGGCAGCTCTTGATGGCGATTCTGCGCGTGGTTGGAGACACCGTTCGGATGGCCGGCAGTGGGTTGGTATGATATGTCTTGGTGATATTGGCTGGGAGCATGTTATGTAGATTTGTATATGCGATAAAGATGCTCGTTATAAATAAGCGTCGAACACTGGCAAGGGACGTCGGCTGGTGGACATACTGATGGCGGATGATTTGAGCCTACCTCGAGATCGTCCGCTCCAAGAAGCCGACCGTTGATGCGAGAGGAGCCTCCTCGGCTCCTTGTCGCTCGGGGCCAGAACGAAGTGTTTCGACAGTTCGTCGCGCACCTCCATCACCTCCTCGGGGTGTATTGTCACGAACGAATGTGCGTCGTTGAATGAATGGCCGATTTCAGAGCCTGCCAGCGACCCTATTGTCGGCCGTTTTTGGAGGACAGGGATTCGAGCCAGAAAGAGTGTTTGGATCTGAGGCGATGGAGATATCGGAGCAGGAGCAGCCTCTTTCGTCGACTTGACAAGAGTAAGAGAGTGCCTTCGAGGTCGTTCACTGAGCAAACGCGCTTTTTCGACTTCTTTCAGGTCATAGTTCTCAATATTCCAGGGTGTCGGCGGTGTTGTTTTGATCGCAGGCAGCTCCGCGTCGAGGGACACCCGCAGGAGATGCCGTCCATCTTCCGCATTGTGCAGCGCTTGCAGTTCTGCGTACACATGTCTTCTCCACATCATGAAGCTGACTCCAAGCAGAACGAGCGCAACGAGGATGGCGATGGCGATCCCAATGAAGAGCGATAAGCTCCAGCTCGAGTTCTCCCTGGCATTTCTGCCTATCCCGTCAACATCGCATCTCGGTGCTTGTGTTCCTTGCGCACCTGGTGGAGAGGTTTGTGATTTCGGAAATAGACATTGCAGTGTTGAAGGGAGGTTATGAGGAACAGGGGTGTGTCGAGAGAAAGGCTGCAGTCCTCAGGTACATATGCGTCCATATCAACGTGATATGTAGTCCCGACGCATAAGCGTGCGCCATGCTGAAGAATGCAGGCCGCCATGTCGACACCCAATGATTATCCTCTCTTGTTGCCAGAGAGCGTGCACCATCATGCTGAACCGTGTTAGTTGAGGGCAATCTTCATCAGTGATGGACAGCGAAGTAGCGTCTCTTGACAGATTCCACACGCCCATTTGAGCGCGAACATGGAGACACATATGATGCGGACAGGTGGAACGTGGTTGAACAATGTTCATCTGAGTTGTAGATGGACAAACTACGGTCTACCGATCGCCAGGTGAGGTGCGCATCAAGCCGCACGTGACCGTGGGGCCCCTCCTCGACAAAAAGGACCTCTCAAGCCGGACTCAACACTGACCGCCAGAGAGAGATTTCTAGCGTGGATAAGACATAGAATACCCGATTAGAATAGTGTTTGTCTCAAGCCCCCCACTTTATGTACTCGGGATCTCGTCACCAATTTTTCCTCATCATAAGACGAAAGTCAGCGTCCGATCGCGCGTTCTTGACAGATGGCTCCATGCACCTCAATAAAACATACTATCAAACCTAGCTTGGAACTTGAGAGCTCCAGAGAGCATTTTTGACGATTTAGGTCCCCGAGGATACGCTCACGTGCAGTGCGACTACTTTCGCGCTCCAGGGGCTGGGCATGGCTGGGCACAGGGACCGGCTTCAAAGATAGCCCGAAGAAGCCTGATGGCAGCCGATCGGCAGGTTGACGTGTCCATTACACTACTCCGAGACATCCACGTGACAACTTCCGCTATCACGAATGGCGTGCTCGAGCAACATAATGGCGCCTTCATGGCGTCAACGCCCTCCGGCGCACGAATCGAGGTTCTTACTTGCACAGCTCGTAGAACGCGCTTGGACCGACTTCCTCTTTGGGACTGTGTGTTCAACCTGAATTCTGCCTCGCGTCCGAGGCTCGGACGATGCTCACTTGTGCCAAGCGCGTCGGGAAGGGGGCCGCGGCTTCTTTCGCACTCTTGACACGGCATGTGCGCGCTCATGAGTCTCTTGGGTGACCCCATTTTCTGCTCAGCGTTTCCTGGGGTGGGGACTTTGAGAGATGGCCGGCTGCTCTGTCACTCTTATCTCCGATACCCGAAGTAGGCTCGTGGTCACCGGACCTTTTGTCTCGTCCTTGCACCACTCTGTACGGTCCTCCCAGCCCAAAATCCGTGGGATTCCTGACGCATTAGACGGATACACCCCAGGACGTCTGCGCCAGCAGAGTCGTGTGTAGATAGCGCTCCTGAGAGATGTATTTCAAATTCGCCGCAGTGACAGGCCTGCCGCATTCTGATAGAACTGATTATCGGGCGGGGCTTGTGCACGTTTCGAATTGTGATTCGCTCCTGGTGAAAGTGGTTACGTGACCCAGATAAATAAAAGGGCCCTTCCCCCCCTTGGCACCCCCAGTCAATCCTGACTTCCCTCTCCCCCCACATGTCTCTGCCTGCAGCCCTCTTGTCTCGCGTCCCGTTCAGCCTCTCGCACGACGAGCCTGGCACGCCTGCTTCGGACTCGGACACGGAGTCCATCACCACCACCTCCTCGTCCGCCTCCTCGTCGCTGTCGCCCAGCAGACTGCTCGACCGTCTTGTGCATCACGTGTGTGCGCGTGCGGATATTCTCAAGCCTGCGCTTCTCGGCGCTGTCTTCGATATGCACTGCGGCGATGACGCTGCGCTGCTGACGCTGTGCATCAACGAGCAGAAAGCCGCGGACCTGTCCCACCAGACCATCGTCCGGTTGGCCCCTTCCGAGTGGCAGGCCAAGCAACTCGACGGCGTAGACTACCGATTCGCTTCTGCCGATGGCTGCGTTAGCCTTTCCCATACCAAGGTCATTCAGCATTCAGATCGGTTTCCACTATCTATTTGTTTATCCATCTCTGGCAGGCTGCGATCTCAACCGACCCTCTCCAAGCCAGCCGTCTGAACACCTTCGCGGTCGCCGGCCTCCGCTGCGTGCTGTCTGCCGTGTCAGAGTCCGGCCACGAGTCGGTGTACATCCTCGAACGACCGAGGGTCGTTTTCCCGCCGCTGTCCAGTGCGCCATCGTATAGCCCGTGTGCGAAGAAACCAGAGACAGGCAACATTCCCACGCTCGGGGAGTGGCAGAACCTCTGGCGGGCCTGGGATCTCGTCACTCTGGGCATGATTCCCCAGGAGATGCTGCTCCAGAAGCCCATCGACCTGCGTCACAAGTGAGTGAATCCCTTCCCGTCGCCCGCCGCGCGCTGACGGGAGAACCAGATGCCTTTTCTACATCGGGCACATCCCAACGTCAGTCTCCGCGCCACCCACAGCACGTGCGCTCTGCTAACCCGTGGGGTGGGGCACAGGTTCCTGGACATGCTGCTGTCCAAGTCCATCGGGGGCTCGCCAACCGAACCGGCGTATTTCTGGGACATCTTCGAGGTGAGCGCGCGATATCTGAGCAGCCCATTCACCCAGACACTGAGATCCGATTCAGCGTGGCATCGACCCCCACGTCGACGATCCCGACCACTGCCACAACCACTCGGTCGTCCCCGAGAAGGACGAGGACTGGCCGTCGCTGGACGGCATCATCGGGTTCCGCAACGGCGTCCGGGCCCGACTGGCTCAGTTGTACGACGACATCGACAGCGGAAAACGGACGCTGACGCGAAACATCGCACGAACACTCGTTATGACGCTGGAGCACGAGGGCTGGCATGTCGAGGTGAGAGCGCTTTGCAAAACAGATGTTCCGTCGTTGATGATCCGTGTGATTCCAGACGCTGCTGTACATGCTCATCCAGCGCGCGGGAACAGGGACGCTCCCGCCGCCCGGGTTCACCGAGCCCGCCTGGGATCTGCTCAAGCTCCAGTGGGATGCGACACCCAAGCCTTGCGCCGATTCGGTGGTCGTGGGCCCCGCGATGGTCACCATGGGCCACGACGATTCCGAAGCCGACGACGCCGTTGCCGCGCTCAAGTTCGACGCCGAGGAGCGGGAATACGGCTGGGACAACGAGAGCCCGCCGCGTCAAGTCCGTGTCGAAAGCTTCAGGGCGTCCTGGCGACCGATCACCAACAACGAGTTCTTTGAGTTCTGGGCCGCGGGAAAAGCCGAGCTGCCCCAGAGTTGGGTCGAGGAGGATGGCCAGATCAAGGTAAAGAAAAGAAAAGCCATTACGCGAGTGTGACGACTGATCGGACGCAGGTTCGAACGGTGTATGGCCTAGTGCCAATGGACGTGGCGGGCGAATGGCCGGTTCTCACAACATACGACGACTTGAAAGCATATGCGCGATCCAAGGGAGGTCGCCTACCGACAGAGCCCGAGCTGCGGCTCTTCCTGGACACACACGACAGCGGATTCGAGGGTGGAGGAAACGTCGGCTTCAGAAACTGGCACCCAGTCCCGTGAGCAGCAGCAGCAGACATCCCTGTCGACCGCCAGCTGACGCGTCACAGAGCAACTGCAGGCATCGATGGCGCGAAAGGCACCAACGGCGGAGTCTGGGAGTGGACATCGACCGTCTTCGACACACACGAGGGCCTCGCACCAACAAACCTGTTCACGGGATACTCCACGGACTTCTTTGATACCAAGCACCAATCAGTGGTACGTCGTTCGTCTGCCTCGGCAACCGGATTCGCACCGAGACTCACTCGCTCTGGCAGCTTGGCGCTTCCTACGCAACAATCCCTCGACTGGGTCGAAGGACCGTCCGCAACTTCTGGCAGCGTGGATATGGCTACGCTTGGGTTGGGGCGAGAATCGTCTGGGACGTCTGATGTGTAACCATTTTCATATGTATCAGTATTTGGCAATTTACCTATTTATTGCGCATCCAAGAGATATCTCCACGTCCCAAACAGCAGGTTAATCAGGAACCCAACGATGAGACCCATCTGCATGTACTTGCTGGGGGAGTACTGTCAGAGAGGAAGCTATGCATGCAGCCTGGGCAGAAGAACCATGCTCACGAGAATATGACGTTCCCCGTCGGCTCTACCCCCGATCCGTCGGCCCAAAACACGGGGGCTTGCGAGTTCCGGAAAAAGAAGAAAGGCAGGATGGGGAAGAAGAATCCGAGCACCATCCCCTGCAGAAAGGCAGGATTGCCCGCCGAGGAGTTCTGGGAGAGCGTTGCCGATCCTGCATTATCCAAAGAGTCGATCCACTCTTCTTCCAGCGCCCGCGCGTGTTCGTCATCTAGAAGGCCCGCACGCTCTATTTAGTCCTCTGCCGATGAGCGCATGTCCGCAACGCACATTCTTCCTCCGTCTCAAAGTCCGTGTCCAGGTAATTCGAGGAGGCCGACTGGGAGTGGAACTGCTGCCGGAAATTGGCAATGTCCGCGGCAGAGAACCCAACGGACGCCAGGCGGTCGAACCCCCGCGCAGGCTGCAACTGTGCTTTCTAAACCAGATCATAAGAGTTCCATCGCCGTGCACGGGGCAAACGAACGGCCGCGCACCTGCTCGTCCGCCGCCTCCTCTTCGCCCGCCTCGATTTCGCGTCCCACGGAACAATGGATCCAGGTCAGCGCAAGCGGCGGCGGCGGCAACTGCTCGCTCGCATCCTGTCCAGCGGCGGTTTTCCTGAGCTTAGTTTCGAGAGCTGCCAGCCAGTCGTTGACCACCGTCGGGTCTGGAATGATGGCCCCGGAGTAGATGAAGCGCAGTCGTCGAGTTGTCAGATGGGGTTTCTGTTTGCGGATCTACAGCATAGATGAGCTGGAGGAGCGGCCAGGCGCACGTCGCAAAGACCGTACATTGTCCTTCACGTCGTGCAGTGTGTCGCGCTCGTTCACAGACACGGTGACGTCCGGACTGCCATCTGTGAAACGGACGACGAGGTCTCGAGCGCGGACGGGATTAGGTGAGGAGGGGATGTCTACAGCTCTTTGCTTTCCTTTTGCTTTCTCGCTGAGCATAGCGTGGGTGTGTCTATACGCGTGCACTGATTCTGACTCAAGCGAGCAATAGTGCTTACGTCATGGCCATCACACTTGCTAACTTGCCTTGATCCACACAACATTCCGGTACAATTACTGCGGCAGAGATGCATCTACAACTAGCTAGAACGCAGTCCTTCAAAATTATTTAAATCCAGCCAAGAAAAACACATCATACTAAACATCCATTGAAGAGAGCATGCACCTCGATAGCCATATCCACCGGGTCCACCTTCGTGTCCTGGATGAGAGGACACAGAGTCTCCCAAAGCTGATTGATATCCAATTCCTGCGAAGGGGCCTGCGAATCAAGCCCCCAGTCAGATGCAGGGTGCGAGGCTGCAGAGTCCGCAAAGTCATAATTCATGAACTCGGCGAAGAGATCGGTGTCGCAGGCGTCCATGGCCGTGCCGGGATCGCTGAGGGGCTCGACATCCGCGCTGAGGGCTACGTCGTCGCTGGTCATCATGATCGGGCTCGAGGGAGGAGGGGGAGAGGATGGGGGAAGACCCTCCCAGTGCTGGGCCTGTGGAATCTGCTTTTCGGTGGTGACATTGCCATTGCCATTTCCATCGCCATCTTCGTCACTGTCATCTTCAGACATGGCTTCCATGATGGTGGCCTGGTCGCTGGACGGGAATGTGGGAACGTCCAAGTCCTCAAACGCGCTTTCAAGCTCGTGTGCCAGCATGTCAGCTGAAGGCGATTGGGTAGACTTGTTGCCTGTGGGCGAGGCCGAGCGTCGACCCGAATCAAATTCGAGTGCATCGCCCCATGTCTTGGACCCTGGACCTGGCGTGAAAAGGGAATTCGGGCACGAGCCAGGACGATCTGGCGTCACGAAAGTGTTCATTCGTTTTCGAGGCGGGGTGCATGGTACGGTCGTCGCCGTGGAAGAACGAGACAGCGAACCGAACAAGAGAAAATCTGTCCCAGCTGCTATAGGTGCCGGCATGGAGAGCGTCCGCGACACAGAGGCGCCCTGTGATTTTGATGGATCTAGAACACCTTGCGACGCTGACCTCTGTACGCCTTTGCCTTTGGGCTTACGTGTCTTGTTCTTGTCTCGCTCATCCTTGGCCTGTTTCCTCCTCGCCTCGGCCTTCGTCTTTCGTCTCTCCTCCTCCTCCTGCTCTCTTTCCTGCGCCCGTAGTTGCGCCGCGGCTGATAAGCGGGGTTGAAGAGATGTCTTGGTCCGTGCCCAGTCCGGGACGATATATTTCTTTCGGCCTGGTCGGGGAGGTGATGATGCCGAGACACTCGCTTTTGCGGTTGCGTGCGAGGGATCCTTGACTGGCGAGGAGGCGGTAAACAACGGCTGAGAGTACGAACGTTCGGGCAGACGATAATAGGACGTCGTTATCGACGCGGTCACGGTTTCCGATTGTTCGCCCATGTACTCGGTCCGAGTGCGTTTTCTTCCCAAAGTCGAGGTCGGCAAATCCGGGGTGGAGGAGCCGGACTGAGTTAGGGTGCGCTCTAGCAGACCGCGCGAATCGCTCGGGTCGGCCTGCTTCTCCTTCGAGCCTTTACGACTGAAGACCTTTGGGTTTACATTTTCTTTATTCAGCACAACGATTTCATCATCGGAAGCGCTTTTACGACGTGCGAGGTCCAGACTGGGCAAGTTCTCCTGTGGACGATGTGATGCAAAGTCGGAGAATTGCTGCTTGAAATGCCTGATGGCCTCAATCAGCTCAGGAGCAGGTTCTATGGCCTCTCCGCTTTTCCCGTGAACGAGACGAAGAATATCGGCCAGTGCTTTGTGTTGGATGTGACTGGGCTGAGTTTGAACAAATGCGATCAGATCGAGCAAGGCGGGACCATCGTTCGACACAACACCGAGCACATGTCTGACTGACTCGACGTCTTCAGAAACGGAGGCGCTGTTCGCTAGGGGGGTATTCTTCCGATCCTTGTCTTCGTCAACGATTACAGTTTGTTTGGGGCGCCCGGGACGACCAGGACGTCGCCGTTCCGGACCGACATATGAGCTGTCATTGAGTAGTTTATCGGAGTGGGTGACTGGGGCTGCCTTGGGGTGATTCGCTGATGATGGAGGGAACGCCTTGGACGGCGCAGAGGTGTTGGCCCACGGAAGCGACAGCGGCGCAGATAGAGATACAGTCTGAGACTCGTTTGTAAATGCATGGATTAGTGTATAAAATCACGGACCTGGGTCAGGGAAAAAATGATCTCCAGCGACTCACGACCTCGCCCTCCGGCAGCTTTGACCGTCCCTGTTGCCATCCCCTCGTGCTCCATAAGCGCCACAGACAAAAGACCCAAGCCAACTGCCACTGGGGATGCCGAATCTTGCTGTTTCGGGGAAGCCCCACCAGGAAGATCGACTGGCGCTGTTTCCATCGGGTCCAATAGGTACACCGAATAATCCACCGTGCTCTCTCTTAAGAGCTCCGGACTGGACCGACATATCGACTCCAGACACACTCTGAGTGAGGTAGACGCGTAGCGGGGCCGGGCAATGGCGCGGGAAGAGGTGCCTTCGGTTTCTAATGCGTATATGAAGTCGACGGGGACGACACCGTTGGTACGTGTCAACATGCGCTGAGGGGAGCCATTGACGGTGTAGAAAATCCGCAGGGGAAGCTTTCCAGCAGTCAGAGAGGCGTTGGCACTGCTCATGGCGACCTCGCGGGTGAGTAGGCAGTTGTGGATGTGTAGGTGGCACGAGCACTTCGGGGATCTCAGGCTCAACAAGTCACAACTGTGACCATACGCGTGTGTTTCGATATGTTTACCCCGTCTACACTTCATCAAAAGCTACGATAATCGATGTTCGCCTTTCGAGCTCGTTGGGAACCCGCACTAGCGAGCGCGATGAAAGCAAACTCGCACGTGGCATCCCACCCATCTCAACATTGCGTTCTTCGAGAGACTTTGGCTTGACTGCGTTGCAAGTGCAGCTTGTGCCCGGCTGACACACAAGCTTTTGCTGCTCGTCGAATTTCGCCAGATCGGCTTCCTCTGCGGAATTTGCTGAAACGCAGAAGCACGGACAGATAAAAGATGAGATCAGAGACATGGGGAAGGGAGAAGGCGAGGAATCGATGTCTCGTGTCCAAACATCGACGTCGAAACAGCACACAGTCAACATGGCGGTCGCTATCAATCCCGTAGTATACAATCCATCTACACAGAGAATTTAGCGAGGTTTCGGGAAAGCCCATGCGTGGAACCTACGCAATATCACGCTGATGAGAACGAAGACCTGTAAGACCCCGTATATCCTGAAGGCCCCGGGATCAGGTTTGAGAGAGAGGCTCATCGTGTACAGCAGGAGGACTGGGCGAGTTATCCTTTCACAGAAATTCTAGAGCTGGGATTGAGTGCACACACTCAACGCGAAAGGCAGAAGCGCAAAAGAGCCCAATGCTTCAGCGGAGACCGTTTGGGCACTCAGGAAGAGCGACTTGCGGAAGATTGACAGGAAAGCACCAAAGATAATGAGATCCGAAATCGCCACCAGCACGTAGGCCGAATGCGGATGAGTAAGAGACGGCTTGAGGTAAAGAGAGAGAACGATAGTTGTGGCCGAGGCAAGGATGATGGTCGCCAAGAGTAGTTTTCGAGCATTTTTGAAGTTAATGAACATAGCGCAGTTTGTGAAGATCTCGGATAGAGTTTAGAGACAGTTCTTGGGAGCTGTTGAGGCGACTTGTTGTGAGAGAGGGGAAGGAGCTTGCCTTCTCGGACCAAGTTGGTCCAAGGTTCAAACATAGCCCCTTGAAGATGACAAAATCTTTCAACGTGATCATCTCGATCCTTGCTTGCTCTACCAATCACACAACTTGATGCACCAGCGCTTGTCAAGCCTCTATCATCCTACGGAGTCAGAATCATAGGCGTCAATATATTCGTCATCAAAGTGGTCGTAAAGTCGTGGCTCTGCGTGGTAGAACTATCGACAAGGTCAATTCTGAGCAGGAACCTGGATCGCAGCGGCGGCAGTGCCCCATCCAAGAAGTCCGTAAAGCCATTCGACGGTGGTTGGAGGGAGGACAAGCTTGGGGTCATCATTTGCAGCGATGTTGTGTGCCTCCTGTGCGATTGTGTGTCAACCCATCGAGTTCAGGCTACGGAAAGCAATATTGCTAACATTCTGCTTATCTTGCTCCTCCTTCTCGGCTTTCGCTTTCTCGGCTTCTGCATCAGCAAAAGCTTGCTCGCGCTTCTTGGCGATCGCCTTGATTGCGGCCTTGCGAGTAACTTCGGCGTCCTTGTGAGCCTTCTTCCTCTCATCACCAGCCAGTTTCTCGGCCTTCTTGAAAGCATCGTGTGCAGCTTTCTCGGCGGCCTGGCGCTCCTTCCAGGCAGTCTTCTCAGCTTCAAGACGAATCTTGGCTGCTTTCTCGTCGGCCTTGGCGCGTGCGGTCTGAGCATTGGCTTCCTCTTTGCGACGGATGATAGAAGCGGTCGTGGTCGCCTGAGATCAGTGTCGAATTAATCCAGAACGTTTCGAGAGTTTGAAAACACACATACCTTGGTGAGCTCTTCGCCTGCTTTCTTGATGGCGTCGTCACGCTTCTGGGCTGCGATCTTGGTCAGATGCGCGATCTCCTTCTCGTAGTCAGCCTTGGCTTTCGCGATGGCGGCGTGCTCTTTCTTAGCGGCCAGTGCCTTGACTGCATTGGCCTTCTCTTCGGCCTGCTTGGTGGCCTCTTCGGCAGCGGCAACGGCTGCAGCCTTGGAAATGATCTCGGCTTCAATGGCAGCCGCATCCTTGCTTTGTTCTTCGGACTCAGCCGAGTCATCGGCAGCGGCTTCAGCTTCAGCGGCAGCAGCTAGAGCAGCAGACTGGGCTGAGAGATGATGTCAATAATCGCTAAACATGCTGCTCAACCAGAATCTACCTTCGTCAGCTCGCTGTTCGAGTAGGAGCTCGGCCTGCTCGGCTGCTTCGCGAGCAGCTGCAGCTTCTTGTGCGGCTGCAGCCTCTTTCTCCGCAGCAACATCAGCGGACGATGGAATCGGAACAGGAGGCATGGTATATAGGAAGGGTATCGTGAACTACAGACAGGGAAGGGGAAGGGCGAAAGGCAGGCAGATAGCCAAACGCGAGAAGACCTCAAAAGGAGCCCAATTACTAGGGGTCCAATATACCAGATCGGACCCATGTGCGGCAATCCACAATTTGCAAGGATTTGATCGACGAGCACCCTTCATTTAATGCTCGTTTGACCTGGATAAATTTGACCGGTAAATCCTCACAATCCGCCATTTTCAACACACCCGAAGGCAGAGCGAAGCCACCAGACGCTCGCCAGGCAAGTGTTTAAACTATCATCAAAATTTCTGCTGCTTGATCGACATTGGGGGGTCGGCTAGGCATTCTTCCAGACAAGTGTTTGAAAGTTATCACTCTGGCTTGTCATGTCAAATCGAGATATTGAGCAACGCTGGGAAGAAGATGACATTAATTGCAGAGAAACAAGCTGAAAGCTGGTCCAGAGTGATCGGATATGTATGTTCACTTTTGAAACTGGTGACTACCGGTGCAGACTGAGCAGCGAGAGAGACCAAGACGACTCAGATTTCACGCGCGCTGCTTACTTATCTGATATCATTGCACTGATCCGTAGCGCCGACTGTTTCACGTGACAGGTGGCAGGGTCATCTGTTACACCAGTGACCGACCTCTTTGATGCTTCCAATTTGTACTCTCCCCTACTCTCCCCCAGTTTAAACCTCCACTGTGACTATATCGATTTCATCTTGGCTCCTATGAGACCTAAACTATGCTACCCATGATCTCTCTCTGATTCGCATCTTACTGCGTGATCTGGACTTTCAGCTCGCCAATCTTGTGGTTCTTTCAAGTCCTCCACTGTATTCAATATCATCGAGAGTATGCCACGTTCGAACCCAATGTAGAGACTGCTCCTAGCTCTCTACTGCTGTGGGATTCTGCGCATTCAAACGCGGAGCATTCAGGCACGGGACTTCTTTGACAATACAGGACTAAAGATGTGGATCTGAGGCATCTGAAGGCTGTTCCTATTTTCGCATCCCTGAACATCTTGGTTTCTAAAGTGGTATCTTATATCTACATCACCCGCTGGTGCTTCCTCAACTCTTTTGACCCGTGCCACTTGGAGAACCTCTGAACGACGATTCGGCCTGTTGTCTCACGGTCGCTTGGTTGTCAATCGTCGTCCGCACACCCCTGCACTGAGATCTACTCATCTCAAAGAGTCAAGGCTCGAAAATGACTTCGACTTGCAGATGAGATGAAGCACCGCCTTCGGAGAAAACCTTCGCTCGCGTGTCGTTCGCGTGAGCGTAAGAAACGTAAGAAACGACGAGAAGCTTAGAAGTTGGGCCTCGTTGAGCCTAGTGCTTTTCATCTTACGGCGGGGATTTTCTTCACTTTCTGTCTTACGCACTGGAAAACGGGAGGAGGCAGCGATCTGGATTTCTCCAAGGGTGTTGTTATATGCACTCATCTATGCGGAAGCTATACATCTCAAAGCGGGGACGTCGGAATTCCGGGTCCGATTTCCGACCCAAATGGGCGTCCAGTCCAATCTCCCTCTTTCTCTCTTTCCCCTCAACTTTATGTCTTCCTTCAGCGTCCCCCCTCCCGTATGTCGCGTGTTTGACGGACCATCATTTTTTGACACGTCCCCGTAGAATGTCAAGGTGTTGATAATCGGTGGTGGTCCAGCCGGGTCGTATGCCGCCAGTGTTCTGGGACGAGAGGGCATCTCCTGCACATTACTAGAATCATCCAAATTTCCACGCTACCACGTTGGCGAAAGTCTCATCCCCTCCGTGCGCCACTTCATGCGCTTCATCGACGCAGACGAGAAACTAGCCAATGTCGGCTTCATTCACAAGGTACCCGAGCGGCTTCCCCACGACGCGTTGTCTGACATGTTATCAGCCTGGTTCCGCTATCAAATTCAGTGAGTGTACCTCATGTCGCGTGGGCTCTATTCCAATAGCCGCGTAGATCAATTCAAAGGCGAAGGCTGTATGTATTCTCTAGTCATCTTTCGGTTTTCAATTTATGCGACATACAGACACAGATTTCATAGCACTCGGAGCCGAAAATAGCGCCTACAATGTGGCGCGTCTGTTTTGGTTTTTTCAACGCCCATGGCTGCTGAAAGAGACCAGGTTCGCTCCGAATTCGATCACCTCCTCCTCAATCATGCACGGTCTTGCGGAGCGTCAGTTTACGAGCAGACCAAAGTTACTTCGATCGACTTCGCCGAGAACGATTCTGGTCGTCCCGTCTCGGTTTCATGGTCACACGCGCCTCCACCGCCACCGCCCTCGCCTCCAGCATCGCCAACCACAGCCAAGACTCTTTTCTCCGGTGCTACGGACGCCGGCGCAATCACAGGATCTACAACCTTCGACTATTTAATTGACGCCAGCGGCCGAGGTGGACTGTTATCCAACAAATATTTCAAGACGCGTCAATTCAATAAGGCGTTGAAAAACATAGCCATCTGGGGCTATTGGACGGGCACGGCGATGTATGGTGTGGATTCTCCGAGGGAAGGCGCGCCCTGGTTCGAGGCGTTAACTGGTACGCCCTCCTGTCTGCACTCACAGACATTATCCCGAATGAATGTTCTCTCCAGATGAAACCGGCTGGTGCGGGCTTCCCTTCTAATTGGGTATGAGCTTCAATGATGTCGCAACTAGGGCTTGGTTCATTCCTCTCCATGATGGATCCACTTCGGTCGGCGTTGTAATGGATCAAAAGGTCTATGCAGAAAGGATCAAGAGCCCCGTGCCCAAGCATTCTTTCCCCATATCCGCTGTTCCCGATGCCACAGAGTCTGTTGCTCTGAGTCACTATCTGTTCAGCCTATCCCTGGCACCTGGAGCTCTGGCCCTGATCACCAAGAAGGGCAAGATGTCAGCGAAAGGCATCCAATCTGCTAGCGACTATTCATACACGGCCAAGTCGTACGCGGATGCCGGCTACCGCATTGTCGGGGATGCTGGAGGTGAGTCTCCGTCTTTCAGTTGTTTGATGTATCTGGCTGACGTGATGTTTCTCTTGAGCTTTTGTTTGTGCTACTTTTACCCGGTCTATGGTTTCTATAATCCCCCATACTAGATCGATCCCTTTTTCTCGTCGGGTGTTCACCTTGCCATGACATCGGCATTATCTGCAGCATTGACCATCTGCGCCTCAATGCGGGGTCACTGCAGTGAGATCGTCGCTGCTGATTGGCATACGAAGCGTGTTTCTACGAGCTACACCCGGTAAGCGACCTTCCGATACCCTCCGACAGATTCTGACCAGACCAGGTTTCAGGTCGTTGTTCTGAGCGCGTACAAACAAATCCGGGCTCAAAGCGACGATGTGCTGTCAGATGTCAACGAAGCCAACTTTGATCGTGCTCTGCGGGAGTTACGCCCTAGTAGGGATGTTTTCTCCGGGCTGGCCTGTATCTGATGCACATTGAAGTTGTTCAGGGTGCGGGTGACATGGGAAAGCAACTTTCTGAGACGGAGCTGCAAAGATCGCTCGATTTCTGTCTGAATATCTTCAATCCAACGACTCCAGAGCAGCACGAGCATGTTGCCAGCAAGCCTCAAATCTCACCTGCATTTCTTGACGTCACTGGACCGCTCGTCGATCCGGATGTCATCCACAAAGCTCTGCATGTCGAACACGCTGCTTTGAAAGAGTCGTCAGCTCCGCCCCCTGCCCGCAGACGACTTACACCACGTGACCGCTCCCACTCTGAGGTCGCGGAAACCACGATGGTGCTGGCCAAGGTCAACGCGCGTCGGGTCGTACACGCCGAATATGCCATCAACAATTTCGAGTCCGAACCTATCGAGGGTCGCGTCGCCAAGCTCCAGAAAGGAAACCTTGGTCTGACTCTGGTCGACACTGTGTCTCACTCCACGGACTAGGTACATGCGCTGTTCACTTGTTTCATATTTTTCGGAACTGCTTTGGATCGCAATCTGTAGACGTAGCTGTTTTGTATACTAGTTTGTATAATACCTGAATTGTATACACCTCAGTTACCACCGCTATCATGACAAAATCAAGCACGGAGTCTCCTTCCTTTTCAGCGAACTAGGAAATGGCTCAGCTGTGTATGGGATGTAGTTTCAAGCCGTTTCCGTCCAATAGAGCCTCAATTACTATTAGCAAGTGATCTATCCGGCGTCATTTGCCTCATTTGCGCTTATGTAACACCTCTGACCGGCTGCTCCATGACCACTTCGCCAGTCAAATCAATGTAAGCTCCCACCAACGGCAACACTTAGTCAGTACACGCAAGCGTGTAGCTCAATATCGGCTGGAAACGGAAGGAATCCGACGCGTCAGCACTGCGTGAGCATCAATGACAGAATGGTCGATGATTCCACATCATCAATGACAGTCCAGACACACTTTACTCCAGGACCTCGAAGCAAGGCGTCCTGAGACCCTTACTAAGAGTTCCGGGAATGTCTTGAGAAGTATTACTGACTTAATATGGATCACGGAAATGTGATGCTGAGCAGAACGTTAGAAGGAAGGGGTTCCCTGACCCTCACCTAAAGGTGGCGGGGATCGGTCCTTATAAGGGATTTGCTGGTGCTTATTGTATCACACACACTCCATCTCGTCCCTCGTATTCAAATGGCCGCTCAAATCCCCTCGTACACCCTGAACAATGGCACGCAGATCCCATCCGTCGGGATGGGGTAGGTCCCATGCATGGCGGTCCGCAGTCTTCAGGGTTCACAGTGCACTGCAGATGCTGGATGGGAGCGCCCGGCGGCGAGCAGGCCGTGTATGACATGTGCATCAACGCTCTCAACGTACGACATCTCTTCTGTTGTCGATCGCGCCGCTGAAAGCTTATAATACCCCGCAGGCCGGCTACCGCCACTTCGATACCGTGAGCCATGCGATCGGCCGCTCTGATTAGCGATAGACTGAATCGCGTGTATAGGCAGCAGGATACGGTACGCAACTTTCGGCCAACGATCGAGCATGAGCAGCGCAGCAGGTTAACCGGCTCGGACAGCGAACGAACAGTTCGTCGGCAAAGCCATTCGCGACTCCGGGATCCCGCGCAGCGAGATCTATGTTACCACCAAGCTGGCGTGCGTGTGCATCATCGAGCCCGGTGGACTTTCATTCATATCATCCCCACAGAGATCACACTCGTGTCAAGGAAGCTTTCGAGGAATCTTTTAACGCGCTGGATGTGGACTACATCGATCTGTACCTGATGCACTGGCCGCAAGGTTTGTCTCGATGTCGCTCGTGGGATATCGGCTCAGCGTTGAACTTGACACAGCCAATCTGCATGCTGCATTTACCGGGGGTGAGCGTGGCCCAGTCCTGTTCCGAACCGCCAGTCCTTCTTAGCTCCCGTCCAGGCAGAGTGTTGGCGCCCGAAGAATCGCCCACCTTCGTCGAGACCTGGATTGAGATGGAGAAGCTCTTGGAGTCCGGTGCGTGTGCCCATGTTCGGAATCGTATGGTTTGTTCTCAGTCAGCATCACATCAGGCAAGGTGAAAAGTATCGGTGTTTCGAACTTCTCCATCAAGAACTTGGAGATCCTCCTGCCGCACTGTACTGTGATCCCGGTGACGAACCAGGTCGAGCTGCACCCGTGCTACCCGCAGAACGATCTCAAGGCGTACTGTGAGTCGAAGCGGATCCTTTTGACGGCCTATTCGCCGCTGGGTGAGTGCAGTTCCAGGTTTATGTCTGTGCGACACTGATCGTGTGACGGCGACAACAGGCCAAGGCACGTTCTTTGTGGAGAACGCGGAGATCATCGCGTTGGCGAAGAAAAACAACGCGACGCCGGCGCAAGTCGTTCTCAGCTGGGCAGTGCAGAGAGGGACTGTGGTTATTCCGAAGAGCGCAAACAAGGAGCGCATGGCGGCAAACATCAAGGTCAGTCGTTCATGCCACGAAAGCCAGATTAGCAACTGAGGGCGTCTCCAGCTGCTCAAGCTTTCTGACGAAGATTTTGAGGCCGTGGGTCGGCTGCACAAGGCGCCGGGCCTGCACAAATCCCTTGTCACCTACGACAAGAAAGAGGACAGTGTCTTTGGGTGGACTTTTGAGCAGCTCGGATGGAATCTGCAAGCAGGAGGCCTAAGTAGTCGTGTCGTCATGAACTGATACAGTGGTATGTATATGCGATTAAAGCGTAAACGCAGAATACTGTAGGGAATAAGGATATCGATGCCAAATAAAAAAAGTGGGTCGTGATGGTTCGTAAAAGTAATCATGAAGGTCGTAACGGTGGGTACCGGCTGTCGGCAGCGTACTTACCGGAATGCGGTGTGCGGGAGTGGGATGGTCCAGGCCAGTTGGTGGCGTGGCTGGAGGACGAGGGTGGCGGGGACGGGGATGTCGGCGCCGGCGACCCGTAAGGGCTCACATCGGCAGACTGCCGCCGGCCTCTTCTGGTTGAATCCGCGGGATAGATTTGCGCAGACGATCGACGCAGCCCACCAGAAGACGGCCTTGATGGGGCAGGTGGCTGGATTGCTTGCATGGGAGCCGGAGACCACTGCGGCGGAGGCGACCAGGACGTCGGTCCCGTGGCTGGCGGCACGGCATTGCCGAGGATCGGAGGTATCGTCACCACGACCCGGCCCCGAGGCGTCATTCTCGACTGAGGGACAGCCCCGTGGAAAGAAGATGACGGCGGTGGAAGACTTTCTGTGCCGTGTGTTTCGTTGCTTGGAGGGAATACCCGGCCGAGCAGGCTGTCGGACCGCGCGAAGGCAGGCGAAGCCCGCTGGTGAGAACTGCGATGCGCCGTAAAATTTGACAATGGCCCCAGTGTGTCGGCGGTCTGTTGAGCCCGAGGCGGTAAGAAGGGTTCGGGGGGAGGATCATCGAAGTCATAGTTGGCATCGAACAACGGTCTGCGGTCGGCTGGTGTCTCCACCCGTGAGCTGGACTTGACTTTCTTGCGTCGAGAAGGCTGAGAAGTAAGCCGATGCTCGTCTTCGTCCGGCGCTGACTGCGAAACGCGACTGTACACACTACGCCACCAAGATCGCTGGGCTTTGTGACCCTGAGCCTCTTCGCGTGGAGGGGCAATATGGCCGCGCCCAGGAGCATCTGGATGGATGGTCAGGACCGCAGAAGTTCTCCGGACTAAATACACACTGGAATCATAGCCTCTGCGCGCTAGTTCTCTGTCGATGGCCATTTCCAGTCCTTCACTCTTTTCCCGCCGCTCGTAGTTCGGAAGCGCCAGCCACGGAAAGTCTTCCCTGCGCGAGTAGATGTCCCCTAACCCTGGGGCGGCTGGCTCTGCAATGAAAGCCTTTTCCTTCGCCGACGCGTCGCCTCCTGGCAAGTTGGACTGCCTGGGTCGGCCAAACGCACTCTCGTAATGCAATGTTCGACGAGCACCAAAGTCTGTTTCCGGTTCTCTGCCCCGAACTCGATCCAGGATGTAGACCCAGCCGGCCCAGATTTCTCGGAAGGTTTCCCGGAAATCAAAAGCGTTCGCTAACGCTGGAAGTCGCGCAGTGCGGATTGGCAGCGGAGCATTCGATCTCTTGTCGTGATACGGCTTATAAGGTCGATATGAAAATGCTTTGACGTGCAAAAAGCCGAACACCCTGCCGGCGATATTAGTTTTGGCCGTGATTCGAGCGCCTCGACATACATCATCTCGAAAGTCTCTAGCAATGCGCCCTGCGACGTGTTGAGACGACTAGATAACAGTCCAGACTAAGGAGGGACTCACGATCCCGATATTGATGTCGGCGGCAGTCATGTATGTTGTCTGGAATTGTACTGAGTGCTGGTAGGGAAATGATGATTGGAACAAACGTTTTTCACGACGCCAAAAGTGCTTAAAGCTGAGAGGAAGATCGACTGCCAGAAAGTTAGGAACACTGCACCAGATCAGTTGACGTCAAAGCACACAATCTTTCCTACGCACCGACCGCTTTGATCGAGAATAATTTGAGCAACGGCTGCTGTGGCGCGAGATATACGGCGATGGTGACGTACAACTGCAGCAGGCAGTACATGGCGACGGAAACAGAGATGGAGACGAGTGCAGAGATCTACCCAACATCAGCCAACGACAAGTCAATGGCGAAAAGTGTTGCGAACATAGATATGCCCCCACTTGGGACTCCAGGAACTCTCGCAGTACCATCCAAGATAATTGAGAAGGACCGCAGCCAGTGTCGTTCTGTAGAAATCAGCTAAACGGAAACCATGCCTTGAGCAACCTACAAAGGGCGCATGACACAATACTGCAGAACACCCCATTTCATCATCTGGAGAAAGTACAGGCCATCCTAGAAAGCGAGTTCAGCGTCGTTCAACGCTAGCAGATAAGGGCATACCGCAGGTTTAGCCTTGATGAAGCCCAGTGGAAACACCCATTTCTTCACTTCCTCCCCTCGAGCAATGGCCGCCGCATCAGCAGCGCGAGAAAGGCCGACCTTCAAGAATATGGCTTGCTGATCCTCGATGTTCGGTGACAAGTAATTGAGCAAAAGGTAGAAAAAGGCCGTCAGCACAGTAGACTCGTAACAGTCCCGGATCAGTAAGAGAGGGGTAGAATTGTTCTAGGGACATCTCAGAGGGCTGGTAGAATAGTAGCTTGAGTAGACACACCCAGAAGATGTATGAAGCAAGACTGATCACAGCGTAGATCGGTACCATGAAGAGGATGCGCACGATATCTGCAACCAAGTTGCTTACTTGCATTTTGCAGATATGATATTCACCCACGTCTTTGCTCCCGTTTCTAGAAGCAATCGTCAGCTTGGATGGCTGCAACGGGTAGAAGGGCGCGAACATTCGTGTACCAGGACAAGTGCTTGTTTACCAGCCAAAACGAAGTGACCATTGCAGCGAGAGTGAACAGAGCTGCAACAATCCATCCGACCTGAGGTGAGGTCCGTCAGTTACGGTAATTATCGGATTTCTGACCGACGCACATGATGAGCTGAAACCGACAGAATTGAGCTCTCTATACAAGCATCGTGTAGCGACAATCACTTACCTTGGAAAACAAGATTCCCGTTCTGAAAAAGCGAGGGCGGTTTGTTGGCTGTCTCCGTGGCACAGACAGCCGCACTGCTAGTAGTTGTGGTCTGGCCGCTCATCCTCTGATTGACGATTGATGAATAGTTAGCGTTCTGAAGGTCGTAATGTCGTGAAGGGGAGGTCGTTAGGTCGTAAGAGTGGGAGAAGTCCCTGAGAATATCCAGGAGGGCGCGAAAACGAGGAGATCGCAAACAACGAGGGGCGAGAGCTGCTCGATGCCGTCGAGGCCGACGCTGATGATGCAGAGCGAAGCGAAGGAAGCCTGGGAAAGTCTTGGCGACTACGATCCTATCATGTGACTATGACAGCTCAACCTACAGCACCCAACTACGGAGACGCGCCTTTCATGATCATCTCTCACTTTCGCTGTGTTACTCCATGCTGCTATATAAAGCTATTCATTGAATCGCATGCCGTATTCCTTCTCGATTTCTTTCGAGCTCTGGTCTAAATACACTGGCACGCCACAGGACTGATGATCACACACGCCTCGTTGTGAAACTTCGTTATTTCGGGCGTTGCAGCAGCTTCCAAGAACCCACTGTGTGAGTTATACATGCGAGAAGGTCCTACTTGGAGAATTTTCGGGGTCAAGTGGTCCAGGAAAATCAGTGCAGCCCGGAGGCGTTATGCTCCATGCCCAACTGGGTAAAAATCCTCCCAGCGTTTCCCTTTTTGTGGGTGCATTAGCACGAGGTGCGTGCTTCGACTCTCCACGCGCTCTTCATTCTCAGAGCGGCCCGTTATCTCGGGGGACTTGAGGGCCACGATGACGCGATGAGATAATGGGAAAGCACGAGTGAGTCAATTCCCAATGTCATCGAGACCTTCTTTCCAGCTGCCAGTGCGCTCATAGTGGATACATATAAACCAACCCGAGTTCCTTTCTCGTCTTCGCGCAAAAATGAGACCCATCTTACATCTGATCATCGCCCTCGCTGTTGGTGTTGGAGGCGTTGGAGCTATGGACGCCGCAGCAGCCATGCAGCGGGAGCAGATACAGCGTCTACATGATTTCCTTGGACCCGCTCCAGAAGCTATTGACCCCAACGCTCAAGCACAAGAGCCAGTTATGACGTTCGCCAATCCGGCTGCAGCGAAATTCTTCGTCGATGGGAAGTCCATCCCCGATGTCAACTTCGACGCGGGGCCCTCCTACGCTGGCCTCATGCCAATCTCTGGAAACCGTAACGAGACGCGCAAGCTGTTTTTCTGGTACGAAGATTGATCAGCTCTGTGCGCATGATGCTTCAACGCTTGTGTGCATAGGTTTTGGCCGACCAATAATGCCTCTAACGTAAAAGATCTGCTCTTCTGGACGAACGGGGGCCCGGGATGCAGTAGTCTGGAAGGATTCTTGCAGGAAAACGGTCCAATCTGTGTGTTTGAGAAATGGCGTCGACGGGGGTAGGGCACTGATGAGCTTCAGCTTGGACCTGGGGTCAGTCTGCTCCAACTCGCAACAAGTGGTCTTGGACGAATCTCACCAATGTGTTGTGGGTGAGCGACGATCGCACGATGACCAGGAAGTGCCGAATCCTGATTTGATCCGAACAGGTCGAACAACCAGTAGGAGTGCGTGCACAGGCAGCTCAGGCTGAGGTAGTACTAATTGGCCTCGGGTAGACTGGGTTCAGTCAAGGGCAGCCTGATATCACAAACGACGACCAGCTGGCAGCTGAAGTCATGGGATTTTTGGAACAATTCCTCAACGTGTTCTCTGAACTCAAGGGGAACAATTTCTATCTCACCGGAGAAAGCGTACGTCCTACCGTGAAGTCCGGTGGTTCTTCTGACGATGTGATCAGTATGCTGGTTTCTGTGCGCGCAACGTTTCTTCGCAAGTTACATGTGCTGATTGGACTGCAGACGTCCCATACATAGCTAATTGGATCTACGAGCATCCCGGACTCGAAGTCAACCTCAAAGGGATATGGATTGCTGATCCATCACTGTCTTACAATGTGGTTCAAGAGGAGATTCCGGCACTTCGGTTTGCCAGAGTGAGGCGACTGATCGTCTTTCACGCTGATGACTGACTGGAACTTGAGGCTAACCAAAATCTTTTCCCGTTCAACAGCTCTTTCTGGGCTCATCTCCAAGATATATCAGACACATGCGGATACACGAACTACCTGGACGACTTTGTAACGTACCCTCCAGCCGGCCAGCTGCCTTTCCCAGTCGGAACGAACGGAACATTTTCTGCGACCGCCGCATGTCGCATACACTCGCCAATTCAGCGAGCTATTGGACTGTCTGTAGTTTCTCCTGCTTCGCATATGCGAGCTTATTCAGCCTGCCCTTCTAGACTAAATCCAGTGTTTGACGTGTACCGAGTGTCAGACACTTGGCCTAACCTCTGTTCGTGCCCACCTCCCCCTTGAAATTCGGCGAAGCTCAGCGTGGAACAGGGAGCGTGCTTGGTTTCCCACAATCAACGCAGCAGTTCATCTATTTCAATCGGTATGCGCTTTGATGAATCCGATCTCAAACTGACTGATCTACAGGACTGATGTAGGAGACCCATCTATCGCTCGCTGTATCTTATGATTGTTCCAGGTCCAAAATGCTATCCATGCACCGCATATTAACTGGCAGATCTGCTCCCAAGGAAGCGTCTATCTGCCCGGTGGCGACAGAAGTATTCCGTCGACGCTGTCCGTCCTGCCGAATGTCATTGAAAAGTCCGAACGGACGGTCATCGTGCATGGATTGGCGGTGGGGTTCCAAGTTTTCGCCGTTGAAGTGTCACTCAGACACCTGCCAGGACTTCATCCTCATTGCCGAGGGCACTCGGATCGCCATCCAGTATGTTTTGCTGTTTCGCCACATTGACTCCCGTCGATGCCAAACGTCCTCCAGAAACATGACTTGGAACGGCCTGCAAGGCTTCCAGACCCCGATCGAGAACGAGTCGTTTACTGTCGCGAAGATGGGCACATACGGAAACCAGCACACTGAGCGTGGCTTGACCTGTCTGTTCTCACGCCCTTCTATGTCTTTCGTTCGAGCTCACTCTTTACAGATGTTGAATTCTACTTCTCAGGCAAGTGACCTTTATCATCTTTCTGTTCCTGTGTCTGAATGATGCGCAACAGGGCATATGACGCCTCGTAAGCACGTCTCTGGCTGCTGCTGATCTTTTCTGGAATCATCCCCGCAGAGTTTGTGCCGTGGGCCGCCTTCTCCACTGTCTCGTATCTTCTCGGAAAGCAGGATTCGCCTTCCTCCGGTTGAAAAAGACCGGCGGCTGGTTTCGTGAAGTGTCCCTCCGCAATCAGTTTCAATACATTTACACTTCATTTCTGTACACTTGCGTTGTATACATTGGCACCCAAGTTGAAAGTTGACTCAACACTTGACCCCGATCGATTCGGCAGCGTCTGCCGGTCACAAAAGTGACGCCGAGTGTCCCTAAGTATCAACTAAGCCCTTGCATCTCAAGCCGGGACCCAAAGGTTTTCGAGGCAGTCAGGAATCCTCCTTCAACCCGGAAACAGCACCAGTCATGTCTGCCGCCCCATCGCTCCCTGCAAACCTCACAGGGCAACTTGATGTGTTGATGATCGACAACTTTGACTCGTTCACCTGGAACCTGTACCAGCAAATCTCTCTCCTAGGCGCAGAGGCCACCGTCATCCGCAACAATGCGATACCCGAGTCTCTCATCCCTGAGCTGAAAATCAAGTCGCTCGTCATCTCTCCCGGGCCCGGCCACCCGTTGACGGATTCTGGGATTTCGAAAGCCGCCATCGAGCACTTCCAGGGAAAGGTTCCTGTGCTGGGTGTGTGTATGGGGTTGGAGTGTCTCGTGGACCTGCATGGTGGCTCCATTGGGTGAGTCTGCGCATCTGCTCTTCGCTTTGGTAGTAATTCAGCTCCTATTCTCAGCTACGCTGGTGAGATCAAGCATGGGAAAGTCAGTCGCGTCCGGCACGACAATCGCGGTTGCTTCCGGGACATACCCCAAGGCATCAAGTCTACTCGATACCACTCCCTCAGTGCATCTGCAACGACTCTTCCCGCTGACCTCGCCGTCACCGCACTCACAGAGGACTCAGGAGTGATCATGGGAGTGCGGCACCGGAAGTACACGGTGGAAGCGGTTCAGTATCACCCGGAGAGCATCCTCTCTGAAGGAGGAGACGAGTTGATTCGCAATTTCCTCAATCTGAAGGGCGGAACTTGGGAGGAGAATCCTGATTACAGAGTCAACGACTCGGCCGTTTCACCATTCACTGCAGATCTGTTGCCGAACGGTGTCACCGTCACTCCTGCAGCGGCAGCTAAAATCCCGACCATCCTCGAGAAAATCTACGCGCAACGCATCGCGGACGTTGAGACGGCAGAGAAGACTCCAGGTTCTACTCTGGAAGACCTCAAAACGCTTCTTTCGCTAAACGTTGCACCGCCTCTTATCCCCTTCCTTCCACGTCTGCGACAGCACGCTGCCGGACATGCGTCTCTGCTAGCTGAAATCAAGCGAGCGTCACCCTCCAAGGGTCCGATCTCGTTGTCGACCTCACCCGCGTCTCAAGCGTTGACGTATGCGCTGGCTGGGGCCCACGCGATCTCTGTGCTGACTGAGCCCAAGTGGTTTCTCGGCACACTGCAGGATATGTTGCACGCGCGCATGAGTGTTGCAAACCTGCCTGACCGGCCTGCCATCCTGCGCAAGGATTTCATCCTGAGCCGTTACCAGGTGCTTGAATCCCGCCTGTATGGTGCGGACACGCTTCTTCTGATCGTCAGCATGCTTCCAGAGGCTCTGCTGCGGGATCTGTACGCCTACAGCGTTGAGCTGGGCATGGAGCCGCTGGTGGAGGTCAACAACGCAAAGGAGATGGAGCTCGCGCTGTCCCTCCCTGCTAAAGTCATCGGCGTGAACAACCGCAACTTGCATGACTTCAACGTCGACATGGGTACGACCAGCCGCCTCAGCGAGATGGTCAAGGGCAAAGACGTCGTTCTTTGCGCTCTCAGTGGGATCTCGTCTGCGCAGGACGTGGACAAGTATGCTGCGGAGGGTGTCGGCGCTGTCCTCATCGGCGAGAGTCTAATGCGGGCCAAAGATACCGCCGGGTTCATCAGACAGTTGCTCACACTACCGGAGCCAGTTGCTCAGACCTGGCAATCCGAGTCGCCGCTGGTCAAGATCTGCGGCATCCGGACAAAGGCAGAGGCCCTGGATGTGGCTGAGGCTGGCGCGGATATGCTGGGGCTCATGTTCGTCCCGTCCTCGAAGCGGTACATCGAGATGGAGACCGCCAAGGACATATCTCAGGCCATCCGGTCCCTTCGATTTTCTTCGTCGACCCCAAAACCCGTGGCAGAAAAGGCCAATGGACCCTGGTTCACGACCCACGCGACCCGACTCGCTGCCAGCAGTGGACGGCCATTGGTCGTCGGGGTGTTCCAGAACGCATCACTTTCCACGATCCTGCATGCGGTCTCCTATGCGCAGCTGGATCTCGTGCAGCTCCATGGCTCGGAGCCAGTCGACTGGGCGCACCAGATCCCCGTGCCCGTCATCAAAGCGTTTGGCGCCAACGGAAAGGGCGTCGAGGGCATTACCCGCGGAGGTGCTCATCAATTCGTTCTCCTCGACAGCTTGCGGGACGACGGCAGCGGTGTCAGCGGGGGAACTGGGAAAGTCGTCGACTGGGTCTTGGCAAAGAGCGTCGTCGACGCTGGCGAAATCGTCCTGGACGGCGGAGCGTCGTACAAGACGGCTGGTGCTGCGACTGAAGCTGCCTCCGATGCAGCCTCTCCGGCAGGCAAATACCCGCTTCCGATCATTCTTGCCGGTGGCTTGACGGCGGCCAACGTCGCTCAGGGAATCGCGCAGGTGCGACCATGGGCAGTAGACGTCAGCGGCGGGGTGGAGCTCGCGGATGGGACAGCCAAGGATCTTGATCTTGTCCGCGCGTTCATCTCCAACGTGCGGAACCCCGGGCAGGTTTTGGAGGAGCTGGCTCCAGAGCAGGCAGAAGAAAAACTGGCAGGGGAAGAACAACCCCAGGCATAATTGTACTCTTTTCTTGTTGTTAGACCATGATGTAAGGACAAACAATACTTATACACTAATCGTTTATGGATGTAATAAACTTCACTCAAGAGAAGTGGGTACCCGCAAGTTCACGTTCCAACTCTTCGCTCGGGTCATCAAATGTCGGCGTCGGAGGCTTAGCGTCCGGAGCAGCGGTGAAACTTGACGTGGTGCCGTGGAATGGCCCATGTTCTTTGACGGGGGAGCTCAAGATCTCATCTCTCGAGGGAATCGGGAGACTGGTGACACAACATCAACACGCCATACTCGAAAGGATAGTAGAAGACAACAACTGACCTATCCTGGCGACGGACCTGTCCAGCAGCTCTCGCTTGTACACGCACTTCCGTCCGGAACGAGTTCACTTCGTCCACAATCAGCTTCTTCATCCCTCAATGCTGTCCTCCTCCTCGAAGCCAAAGTCGAATTTCTGGGATAACGATCAGTTCGATCAGTCGCACACCGCCACCAGATGCTCACAAATTCGCAGATGGGCTCGTCAGCAGGGTCATGCCAGACCTGCAGGTACGGGTGAGCGAGCGCCTGCTCACAGCTGATGCGCTTCGCAGGGTCAAAGCAAAGCATTTGAGACAACAGGTCGATCGCAAGCGGATTGGCACGGGGGAATAAAGTCGAAAACGGAACGCGCGGTTTGATAGGAAGCGAGCGAATGTAATCTTGTGCCTGTTGTCTGTTGGTCTTCGTTGATTCACATCCCGACGCCTAGACTCACCCGAGGAGAACCAACACGACGGAGAGTATCTTCAGATGGAGTGCCGAGGTAATGAAGGATTTGGTTCAGCTGGTCAACATAGCTAAAATTGATCAGAACCTTTCCATAGACAGCAAAGACTTCCACTCACTCGCGTCCTTTAAAGATGGGCTTGCCCCCGAGAAGCTCCGCCAGAATGCAACCAACTGACCAGACATCGATGGCCGTAGTCTACGGATGTTACAGAACACTTTAGCCCAAACACAAGCCAAGACTCACATAGTTGGCGAAACTGAGCATGATCTCGGGTGCGCGATACCAGCGGGTAGCGACATACTCCGTCATGAAGCCTTGGTTTCCAGCCGCCTTGGACGTCCCTCCCCCGGGGGTATACCCACGCGCCAAGCCAAAGTCGCAGATCTTCAGCTCGCAATCCGCGTTCACCAGCAGATTGCCAGGCTTGAGATCGCGGTGGAGGACGTTCGCAGAGTGGATGTACTTGAGACCGCAGAGGGTTTGGTACAGGAAGGACTGGAAGTGCGCATCGGTCAAGGGTTGTCCGGACCGAATCTATGCAGGAGATTGGGACTGGGTAGCATTGCGATGCGATGCGACGTACGATGGCGTGTAGATCGGCCTCCATGAGCTCCTCCTGTGAATCGATCTCAGAATCGGTAACCGTGGGCCATCGTCAGAGCTTCTTACATAGAGGTAAACCTCATCGAAATTGCCGTTGGGCTGGACGACGATGTCCATATCGTACAGACATGTTATCTGGTCTTTCCCGTGAGATTTGCGTATCGAGACGCGTACAGACGAAAGAACGCACGTTCTTATGACCACGGAAATGGTGTAGAAGCCTAACACGATGGGTCTGACAATCAACGCATTTGATGGACGCGAAGCATTACGCACCGAATCTCCCGCAGACATCTTTTAGTCAAGATACGCTATGGAGCGGACGCGACGTGAGTTGGACGCACTAGGCGAGGACGATCTCGCGCGCACTTTCGTGTTGATGTTGGTGATCTTCTTGATAGCGCAGCCTTCCCCGAGCGGCGGTGTCTGGCGGCGACAACACAGCCATAGGCACCCTGACCCAGCTCCTTGACGAACTGATACTCGGAATCGACAACGAAGGTCGAGTTGAGCGCGGTGAATGTGTGTCGTTGCTGCTGCATGGCGATAATATGAATATGGGAAAGGAAGGAGTAAGAACCTTGACAGGAGACACGATTTAAGTCGGCTGATGGAAACTCAGATCATCGCAGGTGCACTTAGGTTACTACCAAATTGCATCTCCATCTCGCATCTTTTCACCGTAGGCAGTGCCTCTCAACCGATTTGCGCATCGCGTTTCACGACCGGATCCTTTTCTCACAATCGATGGCGCTGTGCAGGCTGTGAGGCACTGCTAGGGCGACTGTGTTACAGCAGATCTCCTCAGATTGGGCGGTCTGTGATCATGTGGAGTCTTCATTTATCGTTGATATCTGGTCCCGAGTTGCACAACATTCAATCTTCCTCGTCCGGTAAAAAAAAATCACAACTGCTGGTGGGATACGCCGGCAGGTTCATTCTGTCGTGGCTCGTAACCAATATCTAGGCGGTGGTGGTGCATCAACCGAGCTAATTGGGTATTAGAGGCAAACAAGGCACGCGATCAAACCCCGCCTACTGTATTCTCATCAGTGTGGGCGCTCCGCCCATGGACGACAAACCCGATTCATTACCGAGAAACGGTCGGACCGTGTCTTGGCGCTCCCCATAGTACTTAAACGAGGATCGGGTGACTGAACACCGTTTTACTTCCTCTCCTGCATCGACGCGAACATCACGCATCGCACATCTCATCAATGTCGGCCAAATACCTGTGCTGTCTTCCTTTACGACTGGGTGTCTTTTTGATCACCTTCTTGACTTTCCTGGCTACTGCGGCGTCCGCCGGGCTGCTGGCCTTCCTCCTGATATACGACGCTGAAGGTCAGGCTGTGTCGTTTTGTTGACAGGAAAATCACACTGATTGAACTATTACAGGCAAAGATGTACACAGACTCCCACCGAAGACGAAGATCGCCGTGATAGCGTTGGACGTGTTTTATGGCATCGTTGCTCTCATCGCACTCACAGGGTAATCTCCCTCGCGCAGTGTTCTTGCCGCAAAATCTCATCGAATGATATCAGCTTTGTTGGTGCAATCCGCAAGAAAGAATCATACATCGCCGTGTTCTCGGGCCTCATGATGCTCTTCTTTGGGTTCCAGGTCGTCGCAGTCGTCGCGTTCTTCGTTCTTCATTTCGTGAACCGATCGGAGTTCACCAAGTTGTGCACCGCTGCGTCGACAGACCAGAGGGTCATTGACGCATGTAATTCGACGTCCAGGACCTCTGTCGGCATCCTGGTCGTCTCGACGGTCGTTTCGCTTCTAATTCAGGCTTGTGCGTCGTCATTCGTTGCGTGGTGGCCACGGATTGACCTGTCCTCCAGATGGCGTGTACATCATTTCCGAGTACAAGAAGAAGTTGCATCGTGAAGGGCTCTTGCGCGAGGAGACCTTCCGTTCGCAGGGCTTCAATTATGCGCCAGTGGAGACACATGCAATGGACAGCAGGCCAATCTACCCGTATGCAGATAACAGCCATTCGTTTGGAGTCCAGCAGCGGTCATGAATCCTGTCACGTTTTCTGCATTTCTATATGTACAGCAACGTACAATGTGCCACTGTAATCGCAAAGCAGCCGGCCCGTGAGTAAAGCATAGTAAATGGGAAGGAGATACGATAATGTAAAGTACAGCAAAAGGAAAATAGAAAACGACTGGCACGATGGCCATTAAGCATCCTGACACCAGATTTCCAATTTGCCCTCGGGTTTACCCTTCGAGCTTTCTCGAGCGGTTTCGATGGCAAGCTCGTAGTCGGATTCATCCCGGAGAGACACCTTCCCGCCATCTTCGTCCTTGAATTTGAGCTGTAGACCATTGATGTTCTTAGAGAACTTGAGCGTCACTTTCTCCATGAATTCCTCGAAAGGTGTTTCGGGTGTGAGTGCCATTCCTCGGACGTCACCGTCGTAGTGCAACTGAAAACAAGTTGAAGCCGAATTATCAGATGCAGCTGAATCACGCACCTTGACACGAATCTTAATGAGTTCGAATGGCCCGTCAAAGTCATCCCCGCTGACATAGCCCTCCTCTTCCTCCTCGTAAGCACTCTGTATCCTGCGCGCCGTATTCCGTCTGGTAACCCGCCTCCGCACGGAACCACCCCCATATGAGCTGGGGGCGTAGCTGCTGCCCGGAGCACTACGGGAACCCATGCGTTGAACAGGCGGCGGACCATTCGAATTGTTCCTAGCCCAGTTAGCTACGCGATCCGGGCCATTGGTCGGCAACGGCGGCGCCTCTTCAGTATACGCGTCAAGATAGTCATCGTAGATCTCCGTCAGTCGGCTGGGCGCAGGGTCTCTTGGCGGCAGCGGCTTGTTCACACCCGAGAGGCGATCCTCCGCGTCTCACACTCAGCCCTCGCACAGGACCTGCAGCCGCATTCGGCGACGCCCGAGCGGTGTTGAGCATAGTGTTGCTCCGTGCGGGACTGGCTCCGGCTCGGGAGATGGTCGAGGAGCATCCATGGCTTGAGGACCTGGCGATGTCATTTCACGAGAGTTGCCGGGGACATTGAGCATGTTTTCGATCTGACAAGAGGACCGGAATCGTCGTGCTAGATGGGATTCAGAATCAAACTTTGAGTCGGCGCAACCATCACATACGAGGAGGCTGGGTAGTCGAGTGTTACTGCGTGCAAGAGGTCC